TTATTCAAACTGGAAGAGCGGGAACTTCGACGCATGATTTTAACTTGAATCAAGTTTACAAACCCGATCCTTCAAGTTTGCAGTTTTGACAAACCAAACTTATTTCAAGCTTGAATCAAGTACCTATTTTTTAATTTATATTTAGATTTGATAGTTCAAGTGTTATTCAAATTAGATGTTTCAATTTTTATTTAAATTAGAAATTTCAAGTTTTATTCAAATTAGATGTTTCAAGTTTTATTCAAACTGGAAGAGCGGGAACTTCGACGCATGATATTAACTTGAATCAAGTTTATGGGCCCATCAGAGCAAACTTGTTTCAAGTTTGCAGATTTGACAAATCAAACTTGTTTCAAGCTTTAATCAAGTATTTTTTGCTATCTGGGAAAGTGCCACTTTCACCACTAGTTACACAAATAACTATTTCCAATCAACTCCTGTGATAGAAATCTGAAGACGATTTAAAGACTGCTTTTTATAATGGTCGTTTTCTTAAGACAAGCAATAATTCATGTATGCTAAATTGTACCTGACAATGGACTATACATTTTTGTAATGTTTTCGGCAATAAATGTTTCTGATTTCTGAAGTACTGATAAATTTAACCTAGTTTACTGTAATTGGGAAATAAAACAAGAAATAACCAAATTATATATGATAAAGTGTTGTAATATTTTGTTATGGCTTTACTTATATTTCGGATGAAATAACTAAATCTGGTCTGTTAATGTAAGACAAAAATAACAAATAAAAAAAATATTTTTAGTCTTGAGGTGAATATATTCCTGTTAATATAGATACTGTAACAAATACTAAGAAAAATATTATTTACGTAATCTTCATGCATTTTACATAACTCTTAATATATTAGTTTATGACTCTCATGTGCCAAGAAAATTCCTTTGTAAAAGCTATATTCGTATCTACTTTCATAATACGCTCGAAGAAACAATGGGTTTCATTTTATAGTTTTGGGGTTGGCTAATCTGCTTCTACATGAACTGAAGCAAAAAATCCACTGCAGTCTGCAGTACAAGTGCACCGGAACAGGAATGGGCACACGGAAGGGACTAAGGCTAAAGGTGTAGTGACGTCATATCTCTAGTGGGTAATGTCTTCTCTTGAGGCGACACAATTACCGTTACGAAACGATGTGATTTCAGCGGCATTCGTGGCATAGTTGGTAGCGTTTCGGATTGGTGTGCAGGAGGTCCCGGGTTCGAATCCCGCTGGTAGCACTGACTTTTTGTCAACAAATTTTTCATATCAGCAAGTTTGGTTGGTTAGGTTAGGTTATGACAGTTTAATTTTATAATACTACATTTTAAAATTAATTTTATAATTAATTAAAAATTATAATTAATTATTAATTAGATTTTTATCTTATATAGTTTTTATATTATCAGCAAGTCTGGTTGGTTAGGTTATGTTATGACAGTTTAATTTTAAAAATTAAAAATTTATTTTATAATTTTAAAACAATATTTTATAATTAAAAAGTTAATTTTATAACTAAAAAAAAAATAATTTAAATTATTTCAACTTAGCAGTTCTAGCGGCGAACGCTGACACTACAAGATATGTTAGCCTTAGTCCCTCCCGTGTGCCCCACCGCACTAGAACAGCTGCTACTGCTACTGCTAGTCTAAACAGCTGTGATTTGTTTCATTGTCTGTGTTTGTTTGTTTATGCTGTTTGAAATTTTGAATTTCACATTAATCACATTTCACTACACTATTGCAGTAAAAGTATAGTATAAAGTAAACAACAAAGTGTTACATTTTAAGTGATTAGTTTTAGTCAGTGAGTTATTTTGATTTATTTATTTATGGTTTTTGAGTGTCAAAATGCCTTTCATAAAGAGTTTTGGTCAAAGGATTGCTCAGGTATTAATTTTATACTCCCTAGGGAAGAAACAACTAACCAAATAAAAGCCTACGCCTAACCCCACAAAGTGAGAACCCAGTTATTATTTACATTTTACAACTATATGACGTGACCATGGGAACCTATATTGGTTTATATATCACCAGATAACTTACTTAATTTTTGCTGAAAATATGTAACAGTGCATAGATTTCTCCATGGCCGAAAAAATATAGTAGGCCCTAGCCTGCATTGGAAAACATTTCTTGAACAAACGCTTCATCTAACTTACTTGTAGATTTAAGTATTTAACAATGGTTAGGAGACACAGTTAATATTAAAAGTGAAATAATCGGGGGTAACTTACATGTAGATGTAGAAATAATTTCACAAGAAATTATGAACTGTGTACATTTCGGAACTCTTCAGCAAATAATTCTTTAAAACTCTGAGGGAACTGAGAAGAGGAAAAGAATAGTTTTTAATTTAGTTTTATTGTGAACTGAATATCCTGCACAAACTTATTCATGGCCTCTAGAAGGATAAAAAGGCCTATTAAGCACTACGGCAATTAATCTGAGACTTGTATACAGATTATGTAGCATAGGCAAAGGCCATGCTGCTACGGAACCTTGCCTTCAGTAATAAATTTACCTGAACCCCTATAAAGTTTTATGATCGTGTAACTGTGTTTTTCTGAAAACAATATAGAGCAAGTTAGGATATTTAAATGAACTTGAGCTAGTCATGTAGTTATTACAAACTTAAGATTTATTTGCCCGAAACTATGGGCAATTCTAAGCACTTTTATCCTCTGACACTTTTGGGGCAAATAACTCGATGATGACTGCTGTAAGAGAGCAAATTATGTAAAATGATGGTGATAGCAACCTAAACGTTGCCCTGGATGGAACCTTGCAGAAGCAAGGGCACTCATCTTCATGGTATGATGACTGTTAGTGATGAGATGAACCTTGACGGGTAAAGTGCTGAGAAACACCGATCAGATATTGTACTACATGTAAAAGCCAGCAGAAAACTCAAAACAACTGTAAAAAAAAATGATGTAGGTTCCCAAATTTTTCAAATCTCAATCTCTCGGGACATGAACCAGTGTGGTACATGAATTACTAGAGTGATGTTGATAGTAAGGGGTTTAATAGCAACTGAGGGTAAGCCTTATGGAGATGGTGTTGTCAAAAGCTCGAATGCATCAATCTTCAAAAAGGGTTCTGAACCCGATTGAGACAATTAATCCCAAAGTCTGTAAGTAAAGACGTGAAAAAACTTGGTGGTCGTGGTAGGCTTACTGACAAAGTAATTGATAGTTTTCAGGAATATTGTGGTTATGCCATCCTGAAAAAAACATTGAATAAAATGATGAATTCCTGAAAAGAAACATACTTTCATAAAATCTCCACAGATGCCCAACCTCAACATGCTTACATCTAATCAATGCCAAATGGTGGTGCAAATATAATTCAGCAGTAGAGCGTGGTTTACTGTGCCCTGAAATGACAACTCCATATTGCCTAAAAAAATGATGGCTATATAAATCATATTTACAATGACTTATATGCCCCGGCACAGACACTGAAAGTTGGCGTATTGGATGCAGTATTTATTTTAATGATATAGCACTAGGCAACACCAGAGACCTTGAGTGTCTGTGTGGAAAAGCTGGAGCCATTGTTTTGTGAGCCCAATAAATGTGAATCAATAAGTTAAGGCTTAATAAATCGTGATTAGCCTCCAACAAAATAGGATAAAGGGATAAAAAGCATGAAATACTGCTAAAAGAAGATACAAGATATAGAACATGTAAAAAGCCCTCCTGTGGAGCAGAAATGTTTGCAGAACAGTGAGTCAATATTTATTATTATCTTACAGTAGTTGAATGATCTAAGTTTTACTTATTTTACTTACATTTATTTACTTAATTTAGGTACACTTTTCTCCAACAATTATTTTCTGAGATAATTCCTCACACTCTATTAGGTAGGTAATAATTGAATCAGTTTCCATGGCAAAAATGGTTACATATAGTGTTCGCCTTCAAATCTGATGGTCGCTGGTTCGAATCCAAGCGAGATCGTTTCCAGATCCAGATCCCATTTGTCATTGGGCTATGAATTAATGATGCTATCCTACAAAAAGGTCGCCGTTAGATAGTAACAAGACCAGGGTTACTACCAGGGCCGTTCCCTCTCAAAACGAAAAAAAAAATGCCACTGGCGTAAAAACAGTAAAATAATAAAAAAATCTGACTTTTTACTTTGTAAAATATTTTGATGTAAAAAAAATACAAACAATGTTAACAGTTTTCAAATATGTACAAAATATTTATTTTTTCTCTAAACAAGTTTTTTGTTTAGAATTTTAGCGTAAAGGGTGTAGAAAAACTAGTGATAACATTCCCTAGTTAATCGGTTAAATTTGTAAAAAACTATGTTATAAGTTAGGCCCTACTCAAAAGTGACCATGTTACATGAGTGAAATAGAGATCGCTGTCTTAACTTAAGCCTATTTTAAATACCAAGCCTTTATTTCATTACTAATATGGAGAACCATGCCAAATAAATTAGCAAGAGAAAATCAGCTGATTGTTTTTCCCTTTCTCTAAATTAGAGCATGTGCTGGTGTATGTCCTGATGTCTTGTCTGCTGTGACGTGACTGCAAACAGAATTGTTTCACGTATGTAGAGTGAGATTACGGCGGCTGCTTTCTTGGTGTTGTGAGCCTGCTAGGCATCTAATTGCTCTTTTCTGATGTTTAAGGACCCTTCATGTTGGTGTTGGCTGTCCCTTTTCATGTTCTCGTCAATGCCATACCTCAGGTCTGGTTCAAAGTAAGCTACTTTGCCTGAGTCCAAGCCACTTACTTGTTTCATTCTACGAATGTAATAGGTGCCTAAAGAAAGCTTTCTTACACAGCTGGTCTATATGTGGCTTCCAGGACAGTTTTGAGTCAATTATAATGCCGAGGTGCTTAGTTATTTCTTTTATTTCTACTTGAGGCAGTTATGTGTTCTTGTTTTTGTCACATAAGCGATTTGTACTGTTTTATTAAATTTTTATGTGTATTATTATAAATAAATTGTGTGTTTGTATTATAAATAGTTTTTATATTCTAGGGGGAGAAATGACGCTAAAGCATGAGGTGGTTATATCTGGAATTGGAGGAAAGTTTCCTGAGTCTGACAATGTCTTGCAGCTTCAAGAAAAGCTGTTTACAAAAGAGGATTTAATCACGAATGAAATAAGGTGGACGACAGGTAAGTTGTGTAAACATCTTATATATTTGAAAGCAGCCTGAGATCAGGCATAATTGGTAGAAACACATATTGTGTTAAAATTATCTTAGTCACCAAAATGGCATAAGAGAATCTTTTAATAGTACTGTAGTTTAGGCAACGATTGCTTAAAGATAGTGTTAACGACACGAGTAGAAAATTTAAGGTACGAGCCTTGGAAAATGCCTTAAAAACTTCTACGACTGTCGTTAACACTATTTACGCGAGTTAGATACACTACTTTACCTAAGACAGTGTTTTAATCACTACAAATCACTACTCATATCTTCTAGAGGTTATGTTTTCGTTTATTACCTCTCATTGCCACTGACAGTGATGCAATGAAACATTGTACCAAACACTAATTGCACCACTTAGGCTAACAATTAAATTGGCCTGAACAGCTAATTTCTTGAAGCACGAATCATTACAATTTTACTTCTTCTCTCTCAATCTTTTCAATTCGACTGAATTCGAACTGAACTGAAACGGCTAGCCTACTTTAAAAAATGGTCCTAGGTAAAATAAGTTAATAGTTCTATTAAATTTTTATCTAAAAATACAACAACTGCCCTTTATATTAATCTACTTGTCTGTGTAGTATCCAAAAAAAGTTATATAACATTAGGCTTCAAGTGGCATGGGTAAGCCAGCTGTGACTGATGTGCTCAACCATGATGTCTGACTTATCAGTTATGGAAGTGAGCACTGAGAAACCAAGTTCAGCAGTTCAACTCTATTTGAAAATCTTCAAGCATAGTTGTACGTGAAATGTGACAGCACAATAGTGTGTTTGGAAGTTTCAAAACAATAGATCTGAGTGGTTTCCTGATCATCCAAAGGTTGCCATTTAAATCGTGGGAAAAGTAATTTCCTTTTCGGTGATTAAAATCTGGACTAAATAATTAACTTTATGTATTATTGGGCTTTTAATGAACAGTCTAGATGCTAATGAATATCTGGTTTTAGTTGGTTTGAAAAAAAGAACATATCACTCCAATCTACTCTCAAACCGCATTCATACCCAGCATGAAATACGAAAAGTGTTGCTATCGTAATTAAGTTATTAATTAAATTTATACTTTCTATTTGGTTATTAGATTAATCATACATTAATTTGTCAAACAGATACTGTTGGAGTGGGAAAGATGCATGACATTGACACATTTGATGCTTCTGCGTTCAAAATGCACAGCAAACTCGTTCGATCCTGCGACCCTACCACCACACAAACATTGGAAAGGGCTTTCGAAGCTATTATTGACGCAGGTAAACCAAATTTAGAATCATTTGCTTAAATTTTGAATAGGTCTGAAGGATCTTTACCTAAATTTATGAAAAATTTACATTTTAGGCTCTGTTCATAATACATAATATACTTGATAAATACAATTTGATAGGTGAAATACTTTTTCCTCCAAAAAAAGTCTATGATTTGAGATTTCATTATTTCACTACAAAAACATGGAGAAAAATATTAATGAAAATAATGACAAATTAGGCAGAAACTGTCTAAGATTTCCAGGCGTGTTGATATAATTGCTAACAATGTATTCGTGAAGAATATTTTCCTGGGCAGTAAAGAATTTTGAATTTAATTCAGCCAAAAAAGGTGAATAGTTTTATCGTTTAAGGTTTTCGACAAATTTATTTGAATAGATACTGAATTGTATGTTTTTACGATGAGAAAGTGGAGCCCAAGGCTCAAACAAAACCTTCAGTAGTTTAATTAAATTAAGTTGTAACATTGAGCATGGTCTGCAGGTATGAATCCCTTTGCCATGAGTGGCCACAACATCGCTGTTATTTCTGCCTCAATGGTGTCCGACTCAGAGAACACAAGGGCTGGAACTAGCTACGAGGCATCAGGGTTCACAATCATGGGGCATAACAGGTCTATGGTGGCCAACCGGATATCTTACACCTTCAACTTCACAGGTTTGTTTTGTCATTCTATAAACTATAGTCCAGTTATACTTCATAAAGATTTGAATATACGATTACAGCTAGGAATACATTTTTCAACAATGTATCTAAAGGAACATAAAGGGAGAGATTTTATGTCTTAACATATCTTAAACTTTAGTTAAGATAAAAGACCAATTAGTTTAAGACCAATTAAATAACTTAAAATGCAATTTTCTTTTTTCGTAGACTTCAAAGTACACTTTGTAACTTACTTCTTAATTTGACAACTGCTCTGCATGAAAAATGTTTGACTCTTCCAATACATTTGTAATATGTGTACTGGAAATAAACATGTCTTATGTCTTAAACATAACTGTAAGTGTATATTTTATTTGGGTTTCAACCAGTGGTGTCATGAGGCGACATTCCCACTGTTTTTTTTGTTTTTTTTTTAAATCCTACATGTTGTACTACAGTAAATAATTACTATACTGCCTCCTCATTTCTCATCAAATAGGAATAGCAATTACACAAAGAGTTGGATTTTAAAATATATTATAGTACTTTTTCGTACCAAAAGAATGAAAAGCTAGAATGTATAATATTCCATTTTTGTAAACAGAGGCTCAGAATTAGTCCTATATCTAGAACAGTCAATTATTACAATAGTTTTTTTTCTGTAACATTAAAATACTGTCTGATTCAAACCACATCTCAAAGAAGCAGATATACATTATTAAATGCAAAACATGTACATCATGTACATTTATTAAAGAACTTTTAACATTATTAAATGCTTAAATATATTTCTCAAGCTGTGGATGATCAAATGCAAAATTGTACATCCCACTGTAATATTCCTCATATGCTAAGTTGGCATTTGATGTACAGGGAAATAAGCCGTTTTATGAAGAAAGCAGGATGATGGTGATATATTTTTTTCCCTTACTCCTACAGATATATCATATCAGGAGTCGCATATTCCTCAACTTGACAACCAAATGTAGTTTCAGATAAATTTTCACCACTCCCTGCACTTGCATTTACCCAGTGGCGTAAGTGCATCGACCGGCGCCTCCCCACAGTTCATGTAGGTGCCCCCCCCCCTCCCAACAAAACATCACCAATTATGTTTTATTTGCTTATCTCAGCAAAAGCTGTGATTACGAAAAATCCAAAAACTCTCGCCGAAGGTTTTTCATTGTCTCCCTCGGTCATGGAGACATCGTTATCATTTTTCGTGATCACAGCCAAATCTTGATATGAGTATATCTTGCGTTCACGTGGAGATGTGATCATCGTCTCCTGTGGTCATGGAAACTCGTCATCGTTTTCCTATATCGCGGCAACATCCTGTACACCATCCGTTGTCTTGAAGACATCATCATTGTCTCCCACGGTGACAGAAACAACTTCACCTTTTTCCACAATAGTGCAAAAATCTTGGATATCTTCTTTGGTATCTTTGTTACACGATTGCGTCAAAATCGTGAATATCTTCTTTGGTCTTGTTGACATCATGTTTGTCTCCCATGGTCATGAAAACAATGTAGCCCTAATCTTTTTTACGCGATTTGGGTAAAATCCTGAATATCTTCTTCGATTTTAAAGATATTACCTTCTTCTCCGGCAGTCATGGAAACAACGTAATATTTCCGGTATTGCGGCAAAATCATGAATATTTTCTTCGCATGGTCTCCTGCGGTCACGGAAACAACATCACCTTTTTCTATAATATAGTGCCAAAATCTTAGATATCTTCTTCTGTCTTGTAGACATCACGTTCGTCTCCCGCACTCACGGAAACATCTCATGTTACGTGATTGCAGCAAAATCATGAATATCTTCTTTGGCCTTGTAGACATCATCAATCCCGCATTTACGGGAACGGTGACCATCTTTTTCCGTGATTGCGGCAAAATCTTGAATATCTTCTTCGCTCTTGAAAATATCATCAACATCTCCCAGGGTCACAGAAACGACTCTCACCTTTTTCCGCAATTGCAGTGAGCGGTGACAGTCGGACCTCGGTGCCCCCTGGACCTTGCCCCTCCCCTACGCACATCGGGGGTTGCGAGGGTGTTATTTACGCCACTGCATTTACTGATCTGTGACATCTTGACCATTCTTAAAGGCCTTAGACTCCAAATTGTACAGCCACATCCACAACATGTACTAACAAACCTTTAAATTAAAATATCCTGAATAACCAATGGCCTTCTCTGCAAAACTATATCAGCGCATCAAGTAATACTTTTACAATACATCCAGCCTACTTGTACAGCATCACCAAGCAATATCAACACCTTGTTATACTTTCTTTTATTTGTAAATATAAATATTAAAGAAATGATGTTTTAAATAGATTAATACTTTTTATACTAAAAAAACCAGAAGTAGAATATAGCATTGCTTTTGTGTGATAGTGTGCTCACCTGACCTAATTGTTTGCTGCAGGTCCGAGCTACAGTATACATACATCGTGGGCCGGAGGAGTGCGCGCACTAGAGCAAGGAGCTGCTCTGATTGCGCGGGGCCACGCAGAAGCTGCTGTTGTAACTACAGCGTCTCTTATCTTCTACAAAGCTGCAGCTGTGGAGTATGAACAGATGAACATTCTCACTCCTGGCGGTCGATGCCGCTCGATGGATGCTGATGGTAAATACAAATTATAATACCAACTCAAAGAGGATAGTGTGCTCTTCATTCTCCCTAAAACGTTTGTTTAACCTTAAGGGGGTCACGGATGGCTATGTTACATAATGCTAACAAAAGTGCACTTTTTTCAGGGCTCATTAAAGACAGATGTTAAATTTTTTTAGAAGAGTTAGTTTTATATCTTTTAACACAAGGTTTTGGGGTTGTGGCCATTATAATTTGTATACAATTAAAACATGTTTAGTTATTGAGCGGAGCGAGCGAAGCTCTTTGAGATCGGACCTTATGCAAACTATGTAATCAATTAACTCAATAACGGCTGAACATATTGAATCCAAACTTACCAGGGGTATTTCGACAAATATTTTTGATGTTACTAAACAAACAAGTTTCAATTTGATAATACCTGTACACTTTTAGACTGACATAAAATTTGCAAATGTTTAACATTAGTCTTATGGGTTGCCATGTTGGTCACGAGATAACAACGTAGATGTAAACAAAGAATCGTAGCGTACTGACTCGACATTGTGTACCCACGGGCACCTCAGCTTGCACATGCGCAGATGGCCTAGGTACAGTTCCTGAGGTAACTGCTTGTAATTAATTACAAAAGACAGTACAAAACAAAAGGGCTTTCCGATGAAAACCATTAAGCATTGATTAATAATGCATTACACAGATTCGCATTAATAATTACTGTCGGCCTTATACAAGTAAATTATTTCTTTTGGTGATTCTGTCGCATCAGGGAGTTGAAAAGAGACGCATCATCAGTGGTAGAATGAAATTGTATTTGAATGAAAGAAAAACACCTTAAAAGGTGTTTGCTCGATACAGAAACATTTTAGAAGTACAGAAGAGATGAAATATACGAAACTTGAAAAAGAAATTGAAATAATTATTACGATTAGAATGGATAATAAAATATGGCTAGGCCGAAAACATCAGACATCTCGTTGGCTGTATTACAATCATTCTTATTTCTATTAGTTTTGAAGCACATATAGCTTACAACAGCAAAAGAAAATCTTCATTATTGAAAATTATAGAAATTGCATTTCCGAAGCAGGTACCTATTCAGTATTTTCAAATGTTGATAACAGTAGCCTATCCTATATAAATACAGTTGCTAGGCCTGTACAGAAGTCAAGTTGCGACTAAAGTAATTATTAAATAAATACCTAGGCTTATATACAGAGTTAGACAAAAGTCTGGAACCCCCCTGTTAACTTTTTAACGCGTTGCAGTAGGAAAACCAAACTTGCACTTTTTCATCAAAGTTACAACTTTGCCCCGGCCCCCAAAATGGGGTGTTTGATACTCTTTGCCATATTATCATATTGCTTGTTGTCTCTATAACATTTGTTTTGTGCTGATTTAATTAGTATCTGTTATATTCATTGTTTCTTCAAAATATACACAATGTTACAGTCCACTAAAAGCTCTTTAGTCATTTTTTATTATAAGTTTATTTCAACCTTTTTTCAACGCAACACAGTTACCCAACATATGGGGTATTTTGGGGGCAGCCCTAAATTTTCAAATATAAACACCTATCATATGACCTCTTATTTTAAAGGGTTTATCAAGAGAAATTGAATGGTGCAAACCAGAGGTCAATATCGCACCCCTAATCAAAATGGCAGCCATTTTAATTTAAGATTAGCAAGCAAGATAAAGTCTGGACACCCCCAGTTAACTTTATAACGTGTGGCAGTGGGAAAACAAACTCGGCAAATGTTTACAACATAAAAAAAATTCACTTTTTCATTAAAGCTAGAACTTCTACGCGTCCCCCATAATGGGGTATTATAGGGGCAGCCCCAAATTTTCAAACGTAAACACCTATCATGTGACCCCTAATTTTAAAGGGTTTCTCAAGATAAATTAAATGGCGCAAACTAGAGGTCAATATCAAAATGGCAGTCATTTTGAAATATCCTTTATTAACTGTTTAACAGGTTATAGCAGGAAAACTAAACTCAGCATACCTTTATAAAAAAAGAGAATTCACCTTTTGGTCAGTATTAAAATATTAAATTGTTAAAGTTAACTGGGGGTGTCCAGACTTTATCTGGCTTGCTCATCTGAAATAATTAAAATGTCTGCCATTTTGATTAGGGATATTGACCTCTGGTTTGTGCCATTCAATTTCTCTAGATAAACCATTTAAAATGATAGGTGTTTACATTTGAAAATTTTGAGCTAACCCCAAAATACCCCATTTTGGGGGCTGGGGCAAAGTTGTACTTTGATGAAAAAGTGCAATTTCTTATGTTGTAAATATATGCCGAGTTTGGTTTTCCTACTGCAACGCATTAAAAAGTTAATAGGGGGGTTCCAGACTTTTGCCTAACCCTGTAGAAGTCCACTTTTGACTAAGGTGTGCAAATAATTGGCTAGGCCTGTACAGCTACGATTACGATGCGTAGGCATACTAGCCTAGACTACTAGGCCTGTACGGAAGTTCAGTAGTGAACTTACAACTATTTAAGTAAATATTTAACTAAGTTTGTATAGAAGTCCACTTTTAACTAAGGTGTGTAAATAATTGGCTAGGCCTGTACAGTTACGATTACGATACGTGGACATACTAGCCTAGACTGCTAGGCCTGTACAGAAGTTCAGTAGTTAAAACTATTTAAGTAAATATTTAACTAAGCTTGTACTGAAGTCTATTTTTAGCTTAAATGAATAAATAGTCGTCTGTAAAGAAATACAGTTACGATTAGAAAAGTAGGCCATTAATTAATTAGCCTAGACTGCTTGGCCTGTACGGGAGTACAGTTATAGCTAAGCTTCATATGATAATCGATATTCCTCCTTTTTCTCGTAAAAAGATTAATTATTGCAGCCAACAGAACTAGCATTTGGCAGTTGGCATTTTGATGTTAGGTTGGATATTTACTACAATCATATATAAAAGGAGTTTTATCTATGCTACAATCCAACAGGTTTTACATAAACACAACAACTCAACTACTTCCTTTAAACTGAATGGTGTCAAATGTTCTCAAAGGCAATTTCCACTAAATCTTGCCTGTGCGATTTCGGTACATCGCATCCAAGCTGCATACTGGTACTGTATATCAGGCTGTGGTGGACCTAGGAAAGTCAGAATTTTCCCTCGGCTTGACTTACGTAGCATTAGGAGTTATAACCATCGAGGGCTTGTTGATCGATCCATTTTCTATAGAGAGAGTCGAAAGCATAAATAAGAGCAGCAAATGACAAAGAAAAAGAGATTGAAAGACTCAAGAAAATTGCTTATAACTGTAGGCTTGAATAATGAGGAATGAATTGATCAGTAAAATTCACTTTTGTTTTTATGTTGTAATCCATAATATATTTGGGAACCACAAATTGTATTTTTAAAGAAGGTTATTTGTTTATATCGATGCTTGCTCACTCCGCTCAATTGGCGGACCTGAGGCCGCATGCCTAGTTTAAACTTTTTACTTTCCTATATCCGCATGTTAAAATGTACTACACAAAATTACTACTGGCCCTTCAAAATAAAAAAAAAAAATTAGGTTCTATCTCTTCTGGTTCCTAAATAAAGTGCAAAAACATTAACACCTTAAAACCTAAGGCCAAGTATAGCTCGACTCGCCTTTGGCTCATTTGGGGCTCTGTCCCCAGGCCCCCTTGGGGTGAAACCTAGGGACAACACTCCTGTTTCATATAAAATATTTCCCTGTCTAACAATTTAGTCCAATACACATGAAGTGTTTTTGATACAGAAATATAAGGGGGTTTTGATTTGGGGGGGGGGGGGTTGACGGTTACATTTGGTATACTTTTCCAAACTATTCCATGGTTATAACCAAAGACTATGTAAGAAAGGGGATTAACCCCGTACCCACAGTGCTCATCTATGCAGACACTCTGTTCACATTACACTTAGTCGACCAGTTGGTGTGAACAGAGTTGAACAGTAGCATGAGCATCGATTTACAAATTCCTTTCCCAGCTGATGTGAGCTAGGCGATGGACCGGTAGGGCTGACTTCCAAGAAACATCGTTAACCTATAAGCCACAAACCATATCGGTAATCAGCCAATGAGAAGGGCTAATGAAGAAGATGGAGGGGTCAGGAGTCTCGGAGCTGGAGGACCTGGAGAGGACAATCGAGGAGATCACCACGGGCCACGGGACCAAGAAGATCGAGGAGTTTCGGAGTGCGTGTATCGGTGTGTGTGCTTCTGGGACAATAAACAGTATGTAAAAAGAATAAAATATATAACTAAAGTTTTGTAAAACAAACAAGTCATATAATTTGTCAGTAACTCATTCTTTTAAATTTTCAATTGATTTTCTTTTCTTGTAAATTTAACGTTGTAAATTAATTTATCTTATTATTGTTAATTTTTGCCTTTTCAAAGTTTTCTTTTGCTGTTGTTTCACCTTGTTACTTGTTGTTCTTTTAAATTTAATTTTTGTTCATTACACGTTGAGTAACACCCTTAAGCAGTCTTATGTCTCATTAACCTAACACCTCTTCACTAAGCTAAGCAAGTGAAACATTTTAGGAAACTTAAATTTAAAGTGAGATATGGGACTCGCTCGCAACTAATAACTGTTAAAGATTTCAAGTCCATAGCACAATGAAAGTGGTTTAAGAACTGTTGTGGGGGGGGGGGGTTGAATATTTTAAAATGCAGATTTCTTAAATAATTAAGGTATTAGTACCTCAGTTTCATCCTGCCAGAGTCAAGTATCTAGCACGTCTGTTACTTTATAAAATTTTCCTGGTAGTTTGGGCCCAAGACCTACAATGGTGTCAAACTTCAGATCTAGAAGTGGGTAAACGTGATTTAGACTGATGCACGTGTGGTGGCCATAGGATTGATATAAGGTGGGGGAATCCAATTGAAAGGGGAGGGGGGTTTTTAATTCGGTACTGTTATATTCATAGCGTGGTGTAAGCTCTAATACTTTAAACTGTGTACAGTTTCAATTACCTTGCGCCCATAGATAACCCCCCCCCCCCCCCCCCCATCATAGATGCTGCGCTCACGGGACATTATAGTCTCTAACGATCGCAGTAAAATCATCAGTTTCCACCAATTTTCCAATTTACTTTTTTTTGCACATCTTTGTAAACGCTCTCCCCTGTTGCGAAAATTCACGCTTGGTTCGGTTCGACTCGATCCAAGCTTGGTCCGATTATCATTTTCTGTCCGTACGGATCTCTAGTCCCAACCGTTGGTTTGATCAGACCCAAAAATACAGAGTACCCGCAGATTCATAGTATCAGGTACACTTGGGCCTAGGAATCACGACAAAAAAAACCAGGTTTTTTTGTCGGTAAATCTGGAAAAAATTGTGAAGTTCTACCCAAAATAACCAAATATTTTCAGATTGTTGAGGAAAACATAAGTTAAATGATTCACACTAAGCCAGTGGCCACAGTAGTGAGCATTCAAATTTTAAAACCAATAAATTTAAAAAAGCGTAAAATCAAACATTATTTTCTGGAGTACGCCTAAGACCACCCTTTTACTGGGGTTCATTCCATACCTCACCCCCGGCCCCCTTATACACAAGTCAGATGGACACCCATGGTCATGTTAAAAACAAATGATTTGAATAATAATGGATTAAACACACTATTTTAAGTGCAAACGACTGATAGTTATGTTATTTTCGGATATTTGTATACTCTAGGCGTACTAATAGCGACAAAAGTACCAAGCTTATAAACATTTTAATTTTTTGATCTGTGGCCCCCTTAAACTGTTGAAACCAATGTAAACAATTTTACCAGCATGACATTTCCATATCCACACAAATCAGTAAATACAGTTTTAAAATTTCATCACAAGGCAAAATTTGTCAATGAATGTAAATCTAAAATAATCTAGGCATCATATATTTTGATAATACATTTTTTGTTAGTTTTTAGTATGTGTATTTCTTACAGAGAAAATATCGAACTTCCATTGTTCGATAGAAAATATCAAGAGAATTAAAAAAATGTATTTAAATAGAGTAAAATAGAACAATTAAATTTTGTTTCAATCTCTAATGGACCTAAAAAAATTATTAAAGTTTCCATTTAATTTTTGTTGTTGGCCACCATATTGGAAAATCAGAGGCTGAGTTTGGATAGTATAAATACTGTATAGTCATCAGACCTCATATACCTATATTAAAATCCATACTTGGGAATAACGAATAGAAATTCTAACGAAAAGCGCTATTCGTTTGTTTTTCGGCTAACTTCTATTTTATTCGTTAGTTTTTAAAAAGAGCTGGAAATAACTTCTACTCAGTTAGTTTTATAGCCAACGAATAGATAATATATTCGCTAGTTTTACATCGTTAGTTTTTGGTCAGGCGAAAGTATTTTCAATACGGATTATTTATTTTACGTGTTCAGTGAGGGTTGTGTGCGTATGTGAGAGGTCAGCGCCCTTGTTGACAAACAAAGTGGGGGGTGGGGAAAGAGAAAGTCAAAGTCCAGTTGCTTTGGTATGCAGCGGACCCGGGGGGCGGAACAGTGGCAGCCAATAACAACACCCCAAGCACCGAAGGTGGGAAGGGGGAATGTTTGTTTGGGGATTGATATGTAATTGTAATGTAAAGTGTCAAAACATTGTCTTTACTTCAGTCGATGTTCATTATCTGACTGCGACAAGTGTTAATTCATTTGTTTTTGCCCAAGTGTTTCTTAGTTGTCTTGTCGTTATATATATTTTAATGATTGTTAAATATTTTAAATATATAAGTTATTAAAGTGAACAGTTTTAATTAAGTACAGTAGATTAATAACATTTGTTTGCAATGGCTGGCGAGTGTGATATCAAGTGGCCAAACTTAAGTGACATATTTCAACAAGTTGAAAGAAAAAGTATGATGGTCGCGTTTTTAACTTGAAGTGGAATATATATTTTTTTAATGAATATAATTTTTATTTTTTAGTACAGTTATAGTGTATTTTTAATGTGTTTCCCATGCTCTTTTAAACACTATCTCGCCACAAATAGGTCACTTTTAAAATTAGTAGTAAACTATACTTTTATCACACTGGGAAAACTACTTCATCAGACATAAAAAAAATATCTGATATTTCGTAATCCATTAATTGTTTCTAAGTTAAACACAATACGGCTGTACAATTAATTTTAGTGTAACATTCAGCTAATTGTACATCAACAAACTGTGTTTTGACCTAATGGGAACTTCAGTTGTAACTTATGTTTGTGTATCGAAAGTAATGTTTATCTCAGGAAAGGCGAGATGATCATAAGGTGATGTGTTTGTACGATATTTCCCAGCCGGGCGGGAGCGCGTGCGAATCTGCAACGTTGCCGATGTGTACCTGGCTACCACACTGACATTGCTTAGTATTCACTCCTGGCAAACTAATGTGTAAATCATTATTTATTTAGAAATTTACACAAATTTACTTACAAGATATTCACTAGTCATGAAACAAATACATTATAATAAGTTAACTACAAATATAAATCTACAAATAAAAAACACCTTTGTTCTCATTATAAATCTGTCATATTGGTGTTATTTCTTGTGTCACGACAAACACGATGGTATTTTGAACAAAATTTTCAGTGTCTTATTAACGATGTTAGCATACGTTTTAAAAATTAACAGCAGCATGAAAACTACTGTGAATAAAATTTTTAAAATGCGTGGAAATGCTAACAATGAACCTAGGCCTACCAATAAGCCATAAAAATTTCAGATAGATTGGCTCAGTGGTTTGTTTACAAATAAATTTTAAACTTCAGTGTTAGTGCAGAGTTTCTTAAAAACCGGTACTTTTTAGGATCTTTCAACTATATAAATTTTTCGGGTAAACAAAATTTTTTTTAATTGACACCACGTAAAATGTATTTAAACCAGAGAGGGCCAAGGCGGAATCCGAGTTTGCACGCTATCTCCATGACATTGTAGACATGAAAGGAATGTCAGAATTCTGCAAGAACCTCTTCATAAAATTCAACACAGCGGTTCCATCATCAGCGCACTGCGAACCCCTGTTCAGTGCGGCAAGCCTAGTCATTACTAACAGACGAGGAAGAATCAGCGACACCAATTTTGAAAAACAACTTCTTTTAAAGTTTAATAGGCATTTAAAGTAAATTTTGTTGTAGTAATGAATGTAAAATGTAATGTAAATGTGACGATGTTTAATTAATATTTAATTAAAACACAATTAGTAACCAAAATGTGTCATTATTTTATTACATATGAAATCCTTTAAAACAACTGTCCAACAAACAGCTATCTTCTATGAATGTCGAAAACTAACTTAATTTTCTATCAGTTAGTTTTTCAACTAACTAATAACTTCTATCAGTTACTTTTTAAACTAACTAACTAGTAACTTCTATCAGTTACTTTTTATGGGACTAACTTCTAACTTCTAACTAGTTCGAAATTTTGACTAACTTTCCCAACTATGAAAATCAGAGTTAGATACATTGAAATATTATAGGTGCATTCTTGAATAAATTATTTTTTACAATTTGTGAACATCCATGCAAAAAATACATACAGAAGCACATTATCAATCAGTAAGATTACTGCTGAGAGCTGGATTTAAAATTCAAAGGGGGGAAATCACTCTTCATTATTCATAGAAGTCAATGTCAAACAATAGGCTTGTGACTATTACAAGTGTGGCTCTTAACTTCCGTTCCCTTTACATTGAGTTGATAATGATATGCAATCATTTGTTTACCTTTTTTCAATAGAGTTGTATGTTAATCAAATGCTCATTCTCTTCTATAATTTGATTTGTGAAGCCTTAAAAATTCAACTGCACGTCCTGGCTTGTGTACTGTTAACGAGTCCATGAGACTTGCTTACTCACAAGATTCATTTAATAAAATTATTTTCTGTTAATTTCTTTATTATTTAATATTTGAATACTATTTGTAGCAAACGGCACGTGCCGCAGTGAAGGAGTGGTATCATTTTTCCTCCAACGTGCATCAGATGCCAAACGCAACTACGCTACCCTCGTAGGCATGCAGGCAGAGTGCTTGGGTCCAAGGGCTTGCAGTCTTCCCCGTTTTGATAGTCTTGTTGAAGAAACTATTCGAAACTTTTACAAAAAGAATAAAATCGACCCAAATGATATTGCTTATTTAGAGCTTGATGGATCAGGAATCAAGGTGATGTTTACAATACAGTAGCTTACACATTACTCTACTTAATTCGTAGAAAAATGTCTTGACTTTCATATGATTTATGGTAACAAAATGATTTAAATTTGATACAAAAAGAATTGTGACCAAAATTATATAATTTTCAGTATCCTTTTCGTCTTTGAGAAAGATTCATCTCTGGTTAGTTGACTCTTAAAGGCATCAAGTTTTGTGTAGCATAGTAATTAGTCATTCTAAAGGGCAAAGAAGCTCCCTTTTAGAGGAAAGTTAATATATCTCTTGGGACATGAGCTTACACAAGGAGAGAAGTGTGGAAGCGTTGTTTAGTTTTGAGGTGTTTCTTTTCCTTTAGAGTTGAGACACATGAAAATTGCCCAGACTTTATATTTTTATCACCACATCTTTTCACTTGCTGTGTAATGTATCAAATGAAAGATCCTAAGGTGGGATGGGTATTTTTTATGGTTTGAAACTAGGCCCAGTTCTCCTTGATCATTGGGTTTTTAATAAATGGTCCTGGTTTAAGAATCTGTTGGTTTATGCAACTTAGTCTGTAATCTAATCTCAGAAGTTTTACATGTTGCTGTCAAAACTTGAGTAGCTCATTTGCCTTGTTGAATTTTTATTGTAATAGTCCTGAGTTTACAAGAAGATCAGAAACATAGATATTTTGCTAGCTTTAGTGTTAGCGCTTTGGTGCAAAATTAAGATGACTTGGTTTACTTGCCTTAAAAGTGATAAGTTTCTCTCTCAATAGAATGCCAATGGCCAACACTCAAAAAATTGAAATTACCAATGTATTCTTAGTACTTCTAGATTCTAGATCTGGGTTTTAACTACTTATCATTTTTTAAGCTAAAACTATCTAGAACAATCCATTATGCAGTTTGTAATGTTTTCAACAATTTTATTTTATTTTAGAATTTTGACACCGTAGAGATGAATGCTTTATCTTCAGTGTTTTTTGAGAAAAGAACAGCTCCTTTACTGGTGGGATCAGTGAAAAGCAATGTCGGTAATACTGAAGCGTCTTCATCTTTTGTTGGCATCACCAAAAGCATCATCGCCATGGAAACAGGAATGATTCCACCCAATATTAATTACTCAAAACCAAACCCTGACGTTCCAGCATTAGTCAATGGACAGTTTGTGGTAAATAAATTAGTTAATTTTTTTTATCATTATTTGGTTCTAGGTGTTTCAAAATTACCTTATTTCTTTACTTAAATAAATATATAGGATGGAGAGGACACAGCTAACTCACCTGATGAAAGGTTGCAGACGAGTCATAGAACACATAAAAACACATATAATAATACTTGATATTTAGCCTCTTTAAGATGCTTCTTCAGAAGTAGGCCTAGATGCCAGTAACAAAAACAACAGTTTAAAATAAAATCTCTCTGTTTTAATTCAAAATGTCTGACAGGTTGTCCAGCTGACACAACACAAAACACTAAATACAGGCACATTGCAATATTGTATTTACATATAATATGTGTATATTAAAAAGCAAATTAGTTTTGCCCATGAAAATAAATACTTAAGAGTTAGCTGTGAGGGTGAGGATAAAAGTATATTATCTAATGTTGAGGTTGGGTGGGGTTCTGGAGTTGGTCACAAACTGGTAAGCCAATTCCCATCTTTAGAGCATTGAACTATTGCATTGGTTTTTTGGCTATGACCAATTTCTTTACTGTAACTCTTAAACAATTTACTTTACCAAGAATTAAGAATCTAGAAGTAATTTACAACAAAACATTAACAAACAAATTAACAGTTTTTCAGGATCAAAACTTTTTAATTGAGCAAATTGTCAAAAATACATAGTTCTCTGTTGTTCTTTTTCTCTTAATTAATATCAATTAACCACAACGATAAATATACATGCATGATCATTATTCGAAATTTAATAAGTCAAAGAGTGACCTTTAAAAAAGCTAAAGATTTCATTACAAATGTATGTCATTTGTAAATTATATATTTAATATTAAAAAAAAATGTTTTTCAGCCTGTTACTGAAGCGACAGAGTTAAAAGGTGATCTTGTTTCGCTCAATGTTCTATCACTTGGAGGAACCTTGGGCCACGTGGTAATCAAGCGAAACACAAAACAGAAGGAGATACTGGCAAAGGGAAAGTTGCCTCCTGATGGACTTCACAGGCTAATCACAATCTCATGCAGACATGAGGAGGGTGCTAAGCTTAACGCTGAAAAGGTAACGCATGATAATTTATTGTATTCTACAGTTCAATAAATCATTTGTCATAAGTTGATAATGGTTCAAAAGTACAACTGAATATTAATAAACAAATGCAAATAGATAGGAATTGATTTCCATTGATAGAATTGTTTCACTGATTTAAAGAAGGCTCTACCTTTGAAAAGCATAGTAGTTTGATAATGTTAAGGAGTAAGGTGTTATGGAAGGGTGGGAGGTCATTGCTTTGCTCTTTGCTGTAACTTTACTGTCCATGGGAAAGTAGTGGTTTGTTTTCACATGTAGATTTTGTAGCATCTAACATTATAAGGCATATTTATGATAAGAGCACCGGTAAGTCCACTGTTTAGGCACATTCATAGCTATTTATATTATGGTATTATCTTAGATTGCTTTTTACTTTACAAAAGAAAGCGGTGAGGTTAATTTGTAGTGTAAATAAAGAAGAACACATTGTAAGCCCCTTTTTGTTGGTCTTAATATTCTTACATTTCCATCTTTATATGTTTTGGCAAGTTTGTTGTAAGTAAAAGAAAACATTTCTCACTTTAGAAAGATATCTGATGTGCATAACTATTGTACACGATCTAAAGATAATATTTCCACACTAAGGCATAAGTATACAGCCACTCAAAACAGTTTTGAGAACCATGTTGTTAAAATGTACAATTTCTTGCCTGCCTCCATCAAAAACTTGTGTTTTTTAAATTCAAACATGTCTTTAAAACTACTCTAACCCAGGCTTTTGCCTGTACAAACATGACGAGTACTGGTTTAGAGTTTTAGTTATTTCAGTTTTAATGCCAGAGCCCTCTTGATTGTTTTGTTTTCTTTTGACGATTGTCATGAACTTTGTAGTTTTAACAACAATAAATCATTCATTTCATTAGTTTTCCTGATTTACACTTTTGAACTAGGGTTTTTTCAATCATTAAAATTATACAGAAATGGTAATAATTTTCTGTAAAGGTTGGTATCTTTGGAATGTACGTAGACTAAAAACACAAAGTTTAGAATAAAATTAATTCTCAGTGGCTGTACACTATGTACTTACTCCTCAATTAAAGAAAATTTGTTCTTTTCAGATTCAACAAATGGCAGTGGATGTTGAATATGCAGCCATGGTGAATGATGTATTTAAGACAAATATACCCGGCTATTTATGGAAGTCGTTTGTTGTCGTTCCTACGAATGAAGTAAAATACAATATAAAGGTTAGTCAAGTTTTTGATTGTGACCCGAAATAATACTGGAAAGATTCGCGGATAAGAATTGTGAACAGCTTGAATATAAGTTACAATAATGAAATTTAGTTATTTTATAAGCTTGTATTTCTTAGGAGCTTTGCATTCAAAAAAGAAAATTAAGTAAATAACTCGGTGGTTGTATGGTAAAAAAGGGAACCATTTTCTGGCAAATATTGTAAGGAGTGGTTGTTTAACCCAAATTGTATTAATTTTTACTAATTGACAAATCATATCACTTCATTGCGGTGCGGTGTAAAAACTCCATTGTATAAGATTGAGTCCTTTAAAACAAACAATAGTTTTATTAACCTGCCTATTTGGAAAATATGCGACCACTCTCTTCAGTGCATACAAAAATGTCGTCTATGTTGCTTTTGTTTATTTTTAATAAAGACAATATTGTGTAGTTTGACAAAAAAACTGTGCTTTAATCCAAACAAATATAGTTAACATAGAATATCAGCCACCGAACTTTTTATCTTCTGAATTAGGTTATTCTCAAATTTAAAAGAAATGGAATTTTTAACCTTTTACATTAAAATAACTTAAGCTAACAATAAGGCATATTGCTGTTGTTTCTGTTTTGTTCCATCGATATAACTTTTTAACTTGTTAATCTCTAACATTACAGAAGTTTGACAACGTGAAGCAACCGTTGTGGTATGTTTTCTCTGGAATGGGCTCACAGTGGGCAGGAATGGGTCGAGATTTGTTGCGTATTCCAATCTTCGCTGCTGCAGTGGACAAATGTGATGCTGTTTTACGACCTAAAGGACTCGATATCAAACACATAATCACAACAAGTGACAAAAAGACCTTTGACAACATCCTCAACTGTTTTGTCGCCATTGCTGCCATCCAGGTACTCTGTCTTCCAAACAGTGATTCTAAACTTTACATTGGTATAAGTAATTACACCCTAGATAATTATTCCATAAAAAGTTATTCTTGAAAAGGCCTTCAATAGCAACCAGCTAAAACCTTTTCCGTTAATTCACTACCACTAGTGGAATGTGGTTAGGTTAGGTTAAATGTTTCTAACTCTGTACTGTATACTAACCTAACCTAACCAAAGTTTAATTCACTACCACTTCTACTGCTAATAATATTGCTCTAAAAACTAGTGGTAGTTAACTAATGGAAAAGATCCACCAGCTTCTGTAACTCATATATATAATAAGTAGCTTTTTTTGGTGATTTTGAGGAAATTTAATTAATGTGGCTGACCTGGAAGTTCAGATCTCAGCTGATATAGAGCCCCAGTTTTGTGACACTTCACAACTTCATATAAGCTTGAGCTGTAAGGATATTTAGTTGTTTCGGTTAGAGACATTAAAAATCCTGGTTCTGTCAGAATGTAATATGATAAGATTTACATTGCACCATTTGAAATTTCATACATACAGTTTTGTGTGTCATCAATCAAAAAATGCTGATACAAGTTAAAAGTCAGGTTGCAAAGTTCATTAGGGAAAAGTCATATGTAACCTATATCTCTGATAATTTACTGATATGTCAATCAAGTATACAAAACCATCATTCAATTACTATGCAAATGTGTCATTTTACCAAATTCCTCCCCACGCAATGCAAACAAATTTATCAGGGCTTAGGCTCAAGATGTGTCAGTTTTCTGTTACCCATTATTTTATCTGGCTACAGATAGGTCTGGTGGATATTCTGCGTGCCATTGGTCTGGAACCTGATGGCATGGTTGGCCATTCTGTGGGAGAGTTGGGCTGTGCATACGCAGACGGTTGTTTCACTGCAGAGGAAATGGTTCTGGCTGCATACGCAAGAGGGAAAGCCAGTCTTGATTCCGAAGTCATTCAAGGAATGATGGCTGCAATAGGTAATTTTACTCTTTATTTATACATTCCAATTAGGATTGCAAACTCACTAGTGTAAGGTGTATGATGAGTTTTTATCACATTTATATGGTATGGTGAATCAATTTCTTATTAGTGGCTTCTACTGTAGGTTGTATTATAAAATGTTTCTGTAATCATCCTTGATAAAGGCATATTTATATTCAAGCAAATCCTTCATGAGATTTACTGGGGTCAAATGGGTGAAACAGTCTGGCACAATTGGGTCTCAACTCAATGTAAAAACCGAACTTTGGAATTTATCTCCGGGCTCCAATGCAGCAACACATTCTAAGAACTTGTTTAAATGAAAATTACCCTTATTCTTTAAAATTTGAAATACATTTTTTTTTTTTTTGGAAGATGGTGTCTAATACAAGTGTGTTTACAGGGCTTGGCTACAAAGAAATGTGTACTATGGTTCCCCCCACTGTGGACATCGCATGTCACAATGCGTCTGACAGCTGCACTCTCTCCGGCCCAACAGACGATGTCATTAACTATGTCAAGGAGCTCAAGGATAAAGGAGTGTTTGCTAAGGCTGTCAGTGCTGGCAACATCGCCTATCACTCCCGCTACATCAAACCTGTGGCTCCAAAACTACTGGAATATTTGTCAGAGGTTTGTATTACTGTAAAGTTACTAGTAGTGAAATTGCTTGTGAACAAAATGGTGAACAAAATATGTTGAAAAAATGGAAGGGAAGGTTTATCAGAGAACCTCTTGGTTCCAAAAACCAACAAAAACTTGGTAAGGTTTTGGAGTCTGTTTCAAACGTAGGGCTAAACATTATAATAATAATAATAATATCATTGCTTCAGACAATACAATGATTGCAAATGACACATAGAAAATAAAATAAAAGGATTATCTAGGTTACGTACCTTATACAGTCAAACAGTTCTGAATCCAGTCACTAAAGGACGATGCGCATTTCAGAGCTTTAAAGCCCTATCTTCAGGTCCATGGATACTTATTAATTCATCTTCCAGATTCGTCAAAATTAAACATTAAAAACACATAACACTAACACATAATTCAACATTTATACAGGTATGTAATGTACATGTATAAATGTTGAATTATGAATTATGTGTTAGTGTTATGTGTTTTTAATGTTTAAACAATTTTGACGAATCTGGAAGACGAAGTACAGTAGGCTCTCGCTCATCCGGATCGGCCTTGTCCGGACTCCCGGTAGTCCGGATCGGCAATCGTGATTTTTTTAGCGGCACAGTACAGTAGAAGTCCGATTATCCAAGCGAAACGGGACCGAGACTACCTTAAATAATGAAAAAAATCGGATAACACGGCAGTAAAAATTATTACCGGTGGAAGTGCATATGCCCGGCTATCATTACTGTGGACCTGGAACCAAATAAAAAAAAAACGGCTATATACAGTACTGTGTATTTGCTCGACTCTCGATAGTCCGGATTTTTCGTAATCCGGAACGGACGTCCGCCACATTAGTCCGGATGAGCGAGAGTCTACTGTATCCATGGACCTGAAGATAGGGCTTTAAAGCTCTGAAATGAGTATCGTCCTTTAGTGACTGGATTCAGAACTGTTTGACTGTATAAGGTACGTAACCTAGATAATACTTTGAATAACAGTTCAGGAGGCAAAATAATGAATAAAATAAAAGGGCACAATAGAACAATATAAAGCGTGAAATTATAATATGACTAAAAGATACAGTCATAGTGTTATATATTTTCCATTGGAAAGGCGAAACCAACTTCAAGCCGATGCCTGTTTATTCCCTATGGTCTATGAACTCATCCACCAAGTAGAACACATTCGACACTAAGAAGTGTCTTAATTTTAATTTTATCCTCCAATTATAGTTCTGCTAGTCTATCAGTGTTGTTGCAATCGTATGAAAGGTTAAATTAAATCAAAACTGACAGATTCAAAATACAATTTTGCCAATATAAAACAAGCTGTGTTTTTTTGTATATATATTATCAGCACTGATAATATTGGTAAATTTTTTAATTTTAGTTCCCTGAGTTTAGTAACATTTCAGTGATAATCTGAGTTAGTAATTCTTGGTCAGAATCAACATAATTTATTAGGACGTGAACAATGGACTAATTTTGTTATCCTCATTAACTACTCATCTGTTTTCAACACATTCAAACCATATAATGTGATGTATTTCAAATTTTGTTTTACTGACTTCTTAAATAAAAATTTTTTGATAACTCAGATAGAATGTTTTAATTTGTTGTGTACAGTAAATTTTTAACTCCTTTGGGAATATATGAGATTCTCTACAAAAGTGGTGAATACTTTAACACCAAGGTAGCATATTTAACATTAAACAAATAAGCCTAAAATTATTTTGTTGACCGGGTAATTACTTTGTACATTACAATCTAGACATTCAGTATTTATCAAGCCAAAACCTGTGTTTTTGTTTCAGCTGATCAAAGAGCCGAAGCCTAGATCAGCCAAATGGATAAGCAGTTCGGTGCCAGAAACCAACTGGTCGTCTCCTGAGGCCCAACTATCGTCTGCAGAATACCACACCAACAATCTGCTAAGGTCTGTTAGACTCGTAAACAATTTCTATTTTCCTACTCAATAAGTCAATAATCAATCAAGGTATAGCAATGGAATATGTTTGTAAGAAAAAAAAGGGCTTTAATTTTGCTCAAGCCTATCCCTTGCTGATAGTATTTATTTTGTTACCCAGGGTTATTCCACCCTGAGTTTGATTCATGGGCTTTCCGCCCTTTGTCGAAGCCTGCACGAATCCAGGAGTTATTTTGCCCTGGCCTAACTCCTAGAGTTTGAATATACTCAGATATCAAGTGTTATTCCACCCCGTGTTCGATTCCAGTGGCTATTCCGCCCTGGCTATTTCGCCTTAAAATTGTGCACTAGGTAGAGATGTGTCCAGCTGCTTGCCGGGCGCTCAAGAGACTGAATGCTGCCTTGCACTGTATTTATAGGGGTCGTGACGCCAGCGCAGTGCGTGGCCACTCGGAGAACTAATGACCCCGCCACAGCACGGGCCTTTTGAAATTTTGTTGCTTTCTTTACCCCTGAATATTTTTACTATTACAGTTTTGTTAGTAGTCAAAGGATTGCTTGTTTTGGGTTGCCCTATTATCAAATCCCACATAAAAATGAAGTGGGTTATGAAATCTGTCCAATAAGCCCCCTGTCAAATAACCCTTTATTTTATTTATTTAATTCGTTATTGTTGTTATAGATATTTAAATAATTGCCAATGTTATTTTTTAAGATATTTATTTGTACGTTATTTATTGATATTAGTTCGTTTTTGTTATATATTGTATTGTTGTGAGTGATTACACTAATAATTATAATTTATTCAGCAAGATGAACTTTTACCATATTTATCTATATATATATAATACGCTAAGCCGATTTTTGTAAACAGAACTCCTCCCTCATTTTTGGACCGATTTTGATGATTAAAGTGTCAAAAAAATTGCCCTGATCTCTAGTTTTGCAAAGTGTTTTTCGTTTTTTGATATCTTTATTAGTTTGCTCAGGATCTGCCATCAAAGTTGGGTTTTCTCCCATAAGATTAACATGGGGTTATCTAAATATTTAATTGGAAACTTTGTGTCCACTAATTTGAGAGAACGGCTGGGCGTAGAAACTTGGTAGAGGTGTCCAAAGAAAGGTCTTGGTCTATTGATGAGTTATCAAAATAAAAACGAAGTAAATTCGCTTAGGGCTCTGCCCCAGAAGCCTTTAAAGATCCCTCCACAGAGTTGTTTACATTTTGGTCATGTGGATAATACTTTTTAATAAAACAGCTGTTAATTTTAAAATTATGTTTTAAACAACACACATTTATTGGGAGATACTGAATTGTCCAAAAGAAGTATTTGCAATGTTATTTTCTGATTTTAAAATTGATTTTCCTCTGTATCATTTGTGTTGCAATATAAAGTTCCATTAGGAAATCAGTGAAAATCCTTTTCTCACAATAACTCCTACAATTGTTTCTTATTCAACTATCTTATATCTATTTTACGGGTTGGTGTCTGCCTTTTTCACACCATTTCCCTATATTTTATCATATTATTCTAGACAGATCATCATAGGTTCATGAGATTATTGTCATACATGCTTTCAATCTTTGGAAAAATCTTCGATTGTGTAATACGTGTCCATATTTTGTTAAATTAATAGTGGTTTACAGCAACTGGATAACACATTTTACAATATTTATGTAGAAATATGTGCATGATTTAGAAAGTCATTAAGCTGGAAAACTGCAATATACTGCAGACTTTTCAGAGAGGTTACTTCGATGTATTCATTAGGCTTAGTGAAAACATAATATATGTATACAAATAAGAACTTGAACTCTTAGAGAGCGTTGAATGTTATTAGACTAACGAAAAAGGTAGTGCATGTTTACTAGCGCTACTCAGCAATAAAAACCATTTAATTTATCTCTAAAATAAATATTCTTAAAGTGCACTGAGCAGCGACCTAAAAAATCTATCTAACTTACCCATATAATATAGTTACAAAATGCTCAAACTCGCATTGTGACATTTATAATTTGGCTTATATTTCTCCAACAGAAAATTCATCTGCAGAAGAATTTTATTGTGCTCTTACTATGTCATTCGCATTATTTGTTGTCAATGAAGCTGCACGACCATATAAATGAGGAGGTTCCTAACAGTTCAAGAATAAAAGCCAACTTCACTTCAAGTATATTCCACTACACCTAACATTCCGTAGAGAGATTATATTGACAAACTTGATGTAACTGATAAGGCTGAGACAACTACTGACATCCCCCATGTCAAGGAATTCCAGCTTTAACAGTAACACCACAACCAATTTCTCAAAACTGTGCTAGATGGTTATTAATTGGCACAGAAGTACGATATGAACTGACGCGACGTGACAAAAGAAAAATCAAACTTACACTGTAACGGATATACCTCCCTTTGAAGTTAGAACGTGTCTTCCCAACATACAGATTTAAAAAAAAAAATAAAATCATAGATTAATCTGCATTACACTGATGGAATCACGGAAGTTTTTAACTACCGTACAAAAGATCCACCAATACGATTTTAATACTATTTAAAAGTTCTTCCAAAGGAAGAGATACCAGAGAGCATACTAACAACTCCGATGACGTACAGTATGGGAAATATTTTATTCATTGAATGATCAACCATATTTGGTAACTAACGCAATTAATATCATTATTGTTTTTACACTTATTAATCAATGCTGAACGCTCAAAATATGTATAATTTGTCCCAATTTATCGCAGTTAGTTGAATTAGTGTAAGCCTTGAAAGTAACCGTCGATTTCGACGGGTTTCACCTAGTTATTTATAATGCATGTCAAGATTTTGTTGTTCGAATATTAATGCTACAATGTAACTGGGTTTATCCTGTTTTGCAGCATTGTAATAAAATAAATAAAAAAAATGTCTTTGTTATCAAACACTTATGATGCATATTTACAAAATATTTTATAGCACCAGGTTGGCCAACTGAGATTTGATACAGACCGACACAGGGTGTATGACAAACAAGTTGCAGTTGAGTTTGAATTTCTCATCCATAGTTTAAGGGTCATACTAAGGGAAAATAAATTATCCTATCGGCTGTAGTTAGAGTAACTAAATCATTCTTCTCTATCTCTATTTACTACGGTAAAAATCTGAATACTGACTTTTTGTGTATTATGCTTTTGACTGCAGATGCATTACCTCTATAAAGTAGATTATTCCATTCCCATGTTAAATCGAGAAATTTATATCTATTGAGCCCAAGACTAATAGTAAAAATAATAGTGTAATACTATTTTCGTTATAATACATAATTTTTCAACTATGATTAACCAAAGGGGCACCTCATTGTAATACCGTACGAGTAGTAAGAAAATATTAATTGATAGTTTCACCCTTTAGAAGAAGCTCGTTTAAATGTCCCCTGTGAGTCCAATCGTCAATCCAAGTAAATTGCCAAAGATCACTCACATCTATGAACGAATGTTTGTTATTATTAGTGATGGTCGGATCCGGATATCGGACTACCGGATCCTCCGGATCTAAACTAGAACCGACACCCGATCGGATCCACAAAAATTTGGATCTTGGGCTGGATCCGGTTTAATGGATCCGAGTTTTTTTTTAAATTCTATTAAACTAAACGTCCTTAGTAATTTGTCAAGTATTGTATATAAAGTACAATTCATACATAAGAACAGGTGTTTTGTCATATTTTAAAATCAAATTAATAGTGAAATATCTGTGTCCATATACAAGACTATCTTTATCCATGTAAAAACTATCTGTGTCCATGTACAAGACCATCTGTGTCCATGTACATGTTCAAGACCATCTGTGTCCATGTACATGTTCAAGACTATCTGTGTCCAATGATAGTCCTTTACATGGACACAGACAGTCCTGTATATGGACACAGACAGTCTTGTATATGGACACAGACAGTCTTGTATATGGACACAGATAGCCTTTGACAACTCGTCCTTGAAGAGGAAAAAAAAGTTTCTATATTCAGATCCGATGATCCGGATCCGTTTATATCAAGATCCGGATCCGGTACCGACAGTTTCTTGGATCCGCCCATCACTATTTGTTATTATTGTTTTAATAACACAATATTTTTTGTAAAATACTGTTATGTTCTTCCAGCCCGGTACTTTTTGAAGAAGCAAGCACCCACATCCCTGACAATGCTATAGTCATTGAGATTGCTCCTCACGGCTTGCTACAGGCTATCTTACGAAGATCTCTCAACAAAGGCTGTGTCAACATCCCACTGACCAATAGGCAGACTGACAACAGTGTTCGGTTTTTGCTTGAAGCCCTTGGAAAGTATGTAGCATCAAAACACTATTTGCATGATTTTTAGACAGAGTAATGTCTCTATTTGCTTTACTTTGTAAACTATGGATTATGAACAAACAGAATTTTACAACACAAATTCTGATGAAATAGTATTTTAATCTGATCATCTTCTACTATGTAGGTGTATCTACTTTAGATATGTATACCAGGATCAAAAGGGTGTTATTTCAAAAGAGAATTTAAAAAACGCATTCAGTGTTTCTAGCCTAGGTAGTTTGTAGTTGTTTCCTTTATTGTAAAGGAAATGGAAAATAGATGGAAATTAAAATAGATGCAGTTTATATGTTCTTATATTAAAAGTGTTATAATTGCACCCCCCTCCCATGAGTCTCCTCCCCCTCTTTTATCCTCGTTCAAAGTTATTCCTTTATTATTTTTTGTTTCCTACCTTTTGGATTCTAAGGTTGAAACAAATTTTATATTTTATCTTCACACAGGATTTCTTTCCTTGAAATATAGGTATAAATCTTGTAAATTACCACTGTCAATTTGTTTATGAAATATTTCCATGACCTGGTTGTTCAGAGCAAATGTAAAGCTTTAGGTATGTCTATAAAGTAAATAAAGTACAATTAGGAGAAGAGAACTGATATATTACTCCACAAAAAACATATGTTATTATTTCATATGTTAATTTTATTTTTGTGTGCTATATAACATTTGTTGTATAAGTTTTTCAACGAAGATCTATGAAATTGCTCAAGTTACTATTTGTAATTTTATTTTTTATAGTTTGTACCTCAACAACGCCAGCTTGGACATAAATGCCATCTACCCTCCCATAGAGTACCCTGTAAGTAGAGGAACTCCCTATATCTCTCCTCTCACCACGTGGGACCATTCTGAACACTGGTTCACCGAGTTTCAAAACATTCTTCAACTTGTAAGTGAATAAGATGGATCTAAACACAATATTAACTAATAGACAATTTGATTTTAACTACGATGAGACTAAAATGTAAAAGAAATTACTGAGCTAAATAAAAGATTTTTAAAAAAACATTACAAATAAAAATCCCACTTATTGAACATTTTAAGGCATAGTAAAGGTACTATGCTGTTATTCATCACATTTCTTTATGAATAAAAAATAATATAGTCCACTGCTTTTTGGAACACCCTGTATAATTATATTTGAAGGGTGGATTAATGATAACTTGTTAATTCAGCTACCCGTTTACGTTTTGACAGCCTTCTAACTCCATACAAATGTATTTTCTCTATGAAACACATGATTTACTGTGTAAAATGGTTGAATTAAAATAATAGGTGATCAATTTGATCCATTGCTGACTTGTTTCTGATGTATGACGTTCTTAACAGAAATGGCAGCAACCATTTGAGAAACAGTTTCTTAAGAAATTACGAAAGGGCCAACACAATTCAAACAGACCTAAAGCCATCACATAGCCATTAATTTTATTGAATATTATTTGTTTAGTGCAGTTTTTAAAGTTCCTATTTGCAGATGTCCCAGCGCTCAAATGAAGTGGAAGTTAATTTAGACGAGTCTACAGATGATTTTTCTCTCTGGAGAGAGCATTGCATTGATGATCAAATAGTTTTATCACCTGCTCAAGTTTTGGTAAGTTTATGAGTGTAATGTTTCATCAGTGTTGAATTATTTAACTAAAAAAAAATATATGTCAACCCTTTCGATATTAGAATTTGAATTGTAATTTTCTGAAAAATGCTATTTATTTACTCATTTGGTCCTAAAAGTGCTAGGCTTGCCATGGGGGCAAACTACTGTACGAGAAAAAATCGGTAGAAATTAAAATTTTTCATCTCAAAAGTGCTAAAAAAAAACCTCGATCTCGAGTGCTCGGGTGCCTCGATCGTATGAGGAATCGAAAGAAACCATCGCTGTTTCGAAACAACAACCGAGTCAACCGATATGCCCATTATTTCGTTCCATGGCACTTTTCGGGAAAAAGACGCAAAACGATAGATCTTTGTATAGCACTGAAAGGTCTAAATACCATTTAGTGCATTAGCTATTTTTATGACAGCTTTTTGGGGGAATCGTTAGATTTTTAAATGAGAATAAAATCATCAACTGTCAATATGCATATCAAACAGGAAAATGAACAAATCATTTATTGGCAGATTTTTCAGATTTAGTAAATAATGAGCTAAGTGGTGGAAAACAAGTACTGGTAGTTTTTTTTATTTTTCTAAGGCATTTGATACCCTTAAACGTGACAAAATTAGTGATGCTTTAGAGAGAAGTGGTGTAAGAGCAATTTTCAAATATTGGTTTATGTCAGCAATAGAAATATTATTGTAAAAGTAGATAAGGCATACAGTAAAACAGAAGTCTTGAAATATGGCGTGCCCCAAGGAAGCATTTTAGGCCCTTTGCCTTTAGTATACCTTTTATATGTGAATAACATGTCAGATGTAATAAAAAAACAGTAAAATCTATATGTATGCTGATGACACAGTGTTGGTTACCTTGGACAAAAGTGTAGAACTGGCAAAGAAAAAATTACAGGAGGACTTCTTATATTTAACCAAATGGTGTCATGACAACGGATTAAAGATAAACGAGAAAAAAACTAAAATAATGCATATACATTCACCCTTATTTACCTGTAGAAATCTTCAAATAAAAGCTCACTCTCATAATTGTTTACATCCTGAAACTCACAAAGGAGATAAATGTCAATGTAGATGCCTAGACAATGTATCTAGTTTTAAATATTTAGGAATTATAGTGGATCATAATTTCAAATGGGATGTACATGTAAGAGAAGTCAGAAAAAAGCTAAGGGTATGTGCAGCAAAATTCTACTATCTACGACAATATCTGCCCTACAACACCATGAAATTATTGTATTCCTCAATGTGCGAGTCAATAATTAGATATGGCTTAAAAGCATGGGGAAGTGCTGCACACACAACCATGCTTAAAGTACAGACGCCCCAAACCAGATTATTAAAAATTATAGCAAAGCTTGATGGTGCTATTGTTGGGGCTAATCCTATTTGTTGTTTTGAGGTTACCAAATTGTTGTCAGTTGAAAAATTGCTCAAGTTCTTGTTAATTATAGAGTATTATTTCTCTAATAGATTTAAAGAAAAAAAACTCTCATAAGTACAATTCTAGGAGAACCTTTTATGTTATGCCTAGCGTGAACAATAAATATGCTAAGAGAACTAGACATTATTTAGTGCCATATTTGTTTAATGAGTTACCAATGAGTTTAAGTACCAATTTTAAGTCATGCTCTTCCTTAAAAGCTGAATTAGAAAGATCTTTAATTAATTGTTAAAGTTTTCAGAATTTATCTTTGTTAATATTTATAATTCTATGCGTTGTTATTGTTAAATATTGTTTAAATAGTTTTAGGTAAAACATGGGATTGTTACTTTACCTGTAGTAATTTGTTGTTTTTTTTTCCAAATATTTATTTACTTGTATTAAATTTGTTATATTAGTTTTCCTATTATTGTTAAAACAATGAAAGAAATGGTAATGAAATGTGAAAACTTATCTATTTTATACAACAGATTGGGAGAATAGCTTGTACCAGATAAGAAACTGACTGGAATTTTTGTGAATGGACTTTTGAACAGTTGCGGACAAGCCTACTGAGACTTTTGTAGCTTTGTATAAAATGTATTTTGTTTATTATGTTTTAGTTGCATGAAATAAATAAATAATCGTGAACCCTAGAATTCTCATTTGGTCATTTTATTGCTGTTCACGGACTTTCTGTAGTATTATCAGTTACAAAATTATTGATACATAATTTTACATGGGTTATATTAAGCTCATATTTAACAGATTAAGCATAGATGTCAAGTTAACAATATTGAATATTGGCCATCCTGCTAACTTGCCCATAATTTTTTTTTGCATGATTAAATTCTTGTTTTCTTTGTTTGCTAACTTGACGATTCCCAGTCAGCTGATGAGTCTTTTTATAAACAAACAAAAAACTTTTAGTTGTCATGCTAAATTTTAAACAAACAATATTTAAGTAGCATACATGAAGGGCACATTTTTTAAGAATAAGCGATTATTACTGTCACATAGACTGCTGATCTTTGGAGTTTTAAAAACACTTAGGCTGTTACCGTTACAGCGTTAGTGTATGCAAGCCCATGGACTGCAGTGAAGAGCTAGTTAAGGCACAAACAATGTCTGGCTATCAGCCCAACATGCTATATTTTTTAGGGTAATAAAATGTATGCATTGGTGTTAGGCAGTCTCTTCATGAATATGAAGATAAAAAAGCAGATATATTATTTAAATAAATAGTACATTTTACATAAATATAAATAACCATATTTAACACAGTATGATATATGATCTAATTTCTTGTGTTTTTTCAGCATGTAATCCACTGTTTGACGTGTCCATATGCATGTATATGTCTACTGGAACAAAACATTGATTCTTGAATCCTTGTTTGTGTCTTAGGTTTACATCTGGAAACTATTTTTGGAGGCGACCGCTCTAGAGTTCGAGAAAGAAACCATCCAAATAGAGGATATGATAATGAGTAGTCAAGTGATTTTCAAACCAATCTGTGAGTACACATGTCTCAAAAATGAACCCTTGTATATTCGATATTCTAGTTTTTACATTTGTATTCGTCATTTTTCTTACAAGGATGATGCATTGAACATTGTCGGTTATGAAATGTACCTATACAATTAAATAATAAAACACAAGAGTTGAACAGTGTGCAAATTATCCTAGTTTGAAGAATCAAACAAACATCCATATATAAGTACGTGTAATTATAAGACACTATAAATCTTCTCATAAACTTCATCTAAACATGATAGAATATAATTATCAGTTATGTGTAAATACAAAATTTTTTCAATTCACATTACCAATATCTGAAAAATCGACTCTCGATATCAAAAGCATTTTTTATACTTATGTGTTGGTTATCCTAAACCAACCCCTGTCTTTATGTCCTTCCATGAAGTATTTTGAGGAAATGGGGTGTTTTTTCAAGTAAAATAAAGCAATGAAAAATTGGAACCAGCAAATTTAAGTTTTATCCCATCCAAACACATTAAGTTTCTACCATATCAAAGGGAAATGAAGATCTAACATCAAAAATCAAAAATAAAATTTTATTTTCTGGTGTGCCAGCCTCATTTTTGTTAGTCAAGCCAAACTCGAGGTAATATTGTGATCTTCTTCAGTGGCCGTGTAGACATTTTATCATCATCTCCTGCGATCGTGGCGAAATTCTAATCATCTCTCCTGGTCATGTAGGTCATCGTTGAATCCCACGGTCCCAGGAACGTTATTTTCGTCTTCTGCCATTGCAAAAAAATCATGAATGTCTCCCGCAAACGAGTAGACATTATCGCCGTCATCCACAATTGAGGCAAGATTCTTATCATCTGCCGCGGGCATGTAGTCATCATCATCGTCTCCTGCACAATTGCAGCAAGTTCATTAATATTTTTTGGCCTTGTAAACATTTCCATCATCTTCCGTGATCGCAAAATTCTGTTTATATCCCGTGGTCACGGAAACGTTGTCGTCTTGCAGGATCGCGGCAAATTCATTAATATTTCTTGGCCGTGTAGACATTATCTTTGTATTCCACGATCGTGGCAAATTTCTCGGAATTGTCATCGTCATATTGTGCGATCGCAGCCAACAGCGGTAATTTTTGTAGTCATCATCATCGTCTCCTGAAGTCACTAAAACATCATCGTCTCTTAAACGATCGCAGCAAATTCATTAACATATTTAATAATTTTTGTAGTCATCATCATTGTCTCCTGAAGTCAATAAAACGTCATCGTCTCTTGCACGATCGCAGCAAATTCATTAATATTTTTCGGCCTTGTAAACATTATCATCATCTTCCGTGATCGCAAAATTCTGTTTATATCCCGTGGTCACAGAAACATTATTGTCGTCTTGCAGGATCGCGGCAAATTCATTAATATTTTTTTGGGGCATGAAGACATTATCATCCACGTATTCCACGATCGTGGCAAAATTCTCGGAATTGTCATCGTCATATTGTGCGATCGCAGCCAACAGTGGTAATTTTTGGATCACGCGATCATCGCAGACAAGTCGGGTAAGGGTATCGTAATCGACTTTTGACGATCGATTCTCGATATTGAAACCAATGTCTCGATGGTATCGAGAATCGACACATCCTACTTATTATAAAACCTAACACTGAATTGAATAACAATGATAAAATATCAGTTTAAAAGTCAACAATAATTTAAAATGTAGCACACTAACTTTAAAGTAGTATATTTCATTACAAGGGGTTAAAGTGTTCCAGCTCAAGAAATTAGTATAACTTATTTTTCTGATAACAAATGATTAGTGTGAGTATTTCTATTATTATATTTCAGCCCAGAAACTTTTGATGACGATAAGGAAAGGCACTAATAGCTTTGGAATATGCTTGCAAGAAAAGGACAAAGAAGGAGAAACTTTCTTGACTGGAAAGGTGAAGCACTTGAAATCACCCTCTTTGGACCCTCCTTCTGAGAAGAGGGACAAAGATGATGATGAGAAGGAGGATATAGAAGTTACAGATGAGGAGTTTGTTCACGTATTGACTCAGTTTGGCTACCAGCTGGGACCTCAGTTCCAACTTGTCAGAGAGTTGATCATGAAAAACAAAGGTATGGGGTCATCCATCTTCTGATTCAACTGAATGTATTTAACTTATTTCAGTTGTAAGGGCTTCTTGATACTTATTTATACATACTTATACGTATCATATTGATTGCTTGATACATACTTATTAATTGTTCATCCAATTCTTATTTTACTTACTAAAAGATTCATTAGAGTTTAATTAGTCAACTAAATCTACTTTTTGTTCATAAACTCCAATCTAAAATCTCATCAAAATGTTGACAACTCATCTATAATACATGTTTTCACAAAAAAATATTGAGAATACACTGAACATTGTATCAACAGACATAACAACATTAAATTTGGAATTACAATTAACTTTGTGACATGGGGGACAAGTGCCTAGATTTTTAAGGATTTTTTATGGGCTACAAAACTTACAGTTTACCTGGGTGGTAAAGAGTCCTCTCTGGAACAAGAAACACTTCACCTCCACACTATATATACAAAAGCAATGGCATTTCACTGACACTAACAGTATTTTCCAACAGGGAAGGTTTGAGATGAGAAGAAAAAAGTGTCCAGGTTTAATGGTGGCCGAATTGGAGAATCTTCCCTTGCCAAGCTCAAGCCACATCCCTCTGAACATGAAGCTTTTGGTCCAGAGTTGATCCTTGGAACTTCTCATAGTGGTTCCAAAACCTCATATGTAGTGAGGTTCCTTGAAAAATGCTATTGGACATTAATTGGCCATTCATATTAGAGAAAATGCTTTTTGATTTATCAGTTCATCCATCCAGACGAGTTTACCCTGAATAAGTAGATTTTTTCACTTATTTTAAACATTTATTTTTAGGATTCACTGCAAAGGTAGCTTGGAGTGGAAACATTGTTACTTTCCTTGATGCTGTCTTCAAGTTGGTGGGTTTTCTGGAGATGGAAGTGGAACAAAAGTTTTTGTACCCAAGTGCTTTCCGCACCTTGACTATTGACCCACCAAAGTTCTACGGATTAGAAAAAGGTATTTATGTTAGATAAACATGAAAGTGGATGTTATGTAAAACTTCTTTGAAAAATAAATAATTTGCCTACTAACTTTACCTATTCTTGCAAACAGGAACAGAGGTAGATGTATACTATGATTCAAGAAGCAAGATTCTGCAATGCAACGGCTTAAAGTTGGTGGGACTCATGATGTCTCCTGATCCTTCTGTTAAGAAGGAGATGCCAGAACTAACCTGGAACAAAAAATGCTTCATTCCATTCAATAGCGAAACCTCCAAGGTAATATACAATTATTGGTACATGTTTTCTTGGTATTATAAGTTTGCAACAGCTTTTTAATGAGAGATTGAATATTACCAAACACTTGTTAGAAAATGGCCACTCAGAGAAAATAGAGGATAATTTGTGTATGTCTTTAAGAACTGTCAGAAAGGAAATATTATGAATGCATGAGAAGTAATGTACATTTATGAGGGAAAATGTAAATAGGGATAAACTGATCAATGAACAAAAAAAATTCACTTTTGGTGGTACTTAAAGAACATTCATTTTACTTCTGGTAGCCAGTAGCAAAGTAATGATTAATTTGTTTCATTTACATGTGGTGCTTGATGGAGTCTCTAATCTCAATTTTAAGCTGTTAGGGAGTCTAAGTATATTTACCATACTCTATGCAAATGTTTCATCCATCACATTTTTTTACAGTTCATGTACCAATTTGGTGTGGATATTTCCAAGACCAAATGAACGAATGAGCTTACCTTGGAATCATTTAGAGTCCTCCAATTAATAGCAGAGCCTTTGTTTGTTACTGAACTGTGTTCTACTGACTTTATACGTATTCACTCAAACCCTTGATAGGTAGCAAAAAATAGCATATAAACTGAGTTGATCATCTGTTGTTTTATCAGTTGAACGAGTTCCTAACAGTCGGACTTCAAGTTGTTGCTGAGGAAGGTCTCAATAAATGGAGGCAGAAAGTACCTCAGCTGTCTATCATTGTGTTAAACGATAAGAGCGGAACCCAATCACTCATAAACAGTCCTCTTCAAGAAGTTATTGCCTCTTTGCCACAAATTAACGTAAGTTTTAATTTTAATTGGGAACCGATCTGATTAATTTTCAATAGTCATTTAAAGAATATGAGGTTTTTTAACTTTGGATGAAAGTGTTTGAGAACGGTACCTCTAGTCTCTATTTTTATTTTTAGCCCTCTTGTAAATGAAAAAAACCTGATCACAAGTGACGTCATGTATTCAGTTGTTAAAACGCCAAAATAATTTCAACTTAACTAAATTTTAAATTTTTTGACCAAAGTTTTAGTGGAATTTGTGAATTAGTTTTGACACATGAAAGCGTATAAAATACAATCAATTTTCATATTATCTAAATTCAAAACCACAATTGGTAGGTTTAAGGAGTGTACATATTGATCAAATTTGGCAAATGTATTATTTTATTGTGTGCTATTAACATTTAGTCCAAAAACACTTTTTACCTTCCCCGTAGCAGCAAACCTAAGCACTTGTTAAATCTAATGATATTTAACTGGTGAATAAATATGTCTTATTTATGGAAAAATTTTAGTATAACTTAAATCAGACAAGTTGAAATTAGCTTAGTTTGCAGGTTTGCTACGGCGGGGGTATTTATGTTATAGTAGCTGTAACTACATTGTTTTAAAAACCATCATGCATTTTTCCTTAAGACAAAAGTTGAAGAGATGGACGTTAGACAAGCTAAGGACAAGATGTCCGGAATGTTTCGTCCGGGGGAGAGCTGGCTGATAGTAGGAGGGTTCAGTTCTCTTCAGCAGCTGATAGGTTCACTGGGACCTAGTGGGTTCCTGCTGGCCTACGTACAGGATGTCCAAACACCTGTCAACGGTCCCACACTACTCAGACCTGTGCTGGTGCACCATGTCAAAGATGGCGGCAAACTTGTCCTGGTCAAAAAGGTAAGTTATTTAGAGCTAGTTTATAATCAAGATAACTCAAGAAGGTTTACCTATAATGGCTCTAAAAAAAAAGGCATTAATGCCAATTCGATTATATTACTGAGATTATATTATTATATTATTAATTATTTTGAATATACAGGGTGCGGAAAAAAACCCGATCTATCTGCAGGGCACTGTTCAGCGACAGGTCGTCCGAGAGTGGTGGGAGTAGGCTCGTTGGAAAGCCTACACAACGCCATTTTTTGTAGTCATAGAGCAGTGGTCGCCTGAGCTAGTGCGGTTGTTATGGAGTCGTTTTTGTAAAATAGGAATTCATTCATTCCTACTCAGCGGCAGTTTCATGCATTCTTTCAATTAAGGCGACATGGAGAAGTTCCGTTGCGTAGCACAATAATGCGGTGGGTTACTTACTTTAGAACAAAGGCTTCTGCGTTGAAAAGGAAGCTGACAGGCCTTCCAAAGTCAGATCAGACGCCAGACAACAAACATTCGATAGAGTTCGTGCTGCTGTGGAAAACAGTCCTTGTAGGCCCGCGCGAAAACAAGCGGCTGCCTTCAACCGCTCAGTTTATAATAAACTGCAACCTCCATTTGGAGGTTTGGATAAACTCCAACTTCACGTTTGGATAAACTTGCAACCAAATTCAAGACCGCTCAGTTATACGAATTTTGAGGTTAATTTTCATCTCTATGGATTAGAGTAATAATCTGTATAATTTGGTAATCATCCATACAGATAATCACAACGGAACCTCTCGATGTCGACCTAAATGAATAAAAGCACGGAACTGCCGCTGAGTTGCAATGACGAAATCATTACTTTTTAAAAACGACTCGATAACAACCGCACGTAGCTCATTCGACAACTGCTCTATGACTTCAAGAAATGGCATTGTATAGGCTTTCCAACGAGCCTACTCCCACCACCCTCAGACGACCTGTCGCTGAACAGTGCGCTGCAGAAAATGGATCGGTTTATTTGCCGCACCCTGTATGATAATATATTCAATTATCTTATTTATTATCTCTCAATTGTGACGCAGAAAATAAAAATGGACCTTTAGTCAACAAAATAAGTTTTAGAATACAAGAATTTTGTAAATTTTGAGTTAAAAAATACAGATTTTACTGTTTTGACCGAATATAATTCCTGAGTCTTTTCTTTACAGGCTTATGGGGCTGTTTTATGCGATGAAACCCCTATAACTATTTTACTCAACTTAGTACCCCATGACATGCATAAAAAATGGGAGATAGGAAATCGCTACATGGTGCAATAGCTCGGGACCTGAAATTTTCCATTTAAACATTGGTGGTAAACAACTTCTTGACAGCACTGTATGTGTTATTAAATTTACGGAAAGTAAATAAAAGATACTTCTAATAACACTTAAAACAAAACATATATTTAGTATTATACTGTTAACTGACAAGACGGTAAATATACATAAAAGATGGTAAGTGGTGATCGATATTGATTGGACACTCCAATAATTATCAGATCCAATAGGCAAATGACAAGAATCAAAATGGCGCCCCTACTTATATCCTATCGGCTATCGGAAGCTCTGGCCAATACATTTTTATAAGTACAACTGGAGTCGACATTTACTTCTTCATTAAGGTGATTAATGAACAAGAAAATTTCAACCCTGGTTGTATTTAGAAATAAGCTGATTAATGAAAAAGTAAATTTCAACAATCAAAATCGATCACCACTTTACCATCTTTTATGTATATTTACTGTCCTGTGAGTTAACAGTATAAGCGTAAATATATGTTTTAAGTGTTATTAGACTATCTTTTAATTACTTTCCATACATTGGTGGTATTCCAAAATTTAAGAAGTGGCTACATGCTTTGTATTCAGTGAATGATTTTCTAAAAAAAATAACTGGTTTTATTCTTATTGTTATAAGTTAACAAACTATAGTACTAAGATCACTAGCCAATTATTTAATGCACGCTATGTGCTTATTATAAATAAATAAAAATTAAATGAAAGCAACTTCAAGTCCCTTCAAAATCAAAACACCATTTTGAGGAAACTGGAGTTGCCTGCATCCCAGGAATGATTGATAGAACCACTAAAATATTATTATTTAATTTTTTTTTCTCCTCAACCTCTGAATCTCTGTTTAGCGCACGGAGGTTGAGCAGTTGAAAATCGTTGAAATAGAGGACAACTCTTGGCTCTCAGAAGTGTCAGGTGTTTGTGACTGTTCTGACCAAGGATTTGCAGTAGCAGTGGTCAGCAGAACCAAGGGACCGGCGGAGGTCCTACCTGTCTTGTCTAAACTGAAATATGCCCACAGAGTAAGGTAAATACATTCCAACTGAGACAGGAATAGAGTCCCATTTGTGATCAAGTTAAAACAACTCTAAAAATGTGTTGTTTTTAATTATATTATCTTACCGTTTTCGAGCTATAGTTGTAAAAAAACCGATTTTCTCAAAAAAAGGGGGATTTAAGGGATTTTTTTGGGGGGTCGTAATTTGAAAATGTAACTTTTAACTTTTTTGTATCTGGGTGGTGTGGAACCAAGACGGACCTCCACAAAAATTCAGATCCTTAGTTATTCTAGAAGAGGGTAAACATTTGTATACCTGATCAGTGAGTCAGTGAGTTACACAAGTGGCGGTATATCCTGTTAAAGTATGTGCACGGGTGGTCTGATTCACCCCGTATAAACCTAACTGTAGAGCTGATTCAAATATGTGTTTGGTAGGTGTTTATTCTTGGAGAAGAATTCTCCAAAGTTTTCACCTCAACTCCCTCTTTACAAGAACCAGCTAAGTCTGGGATTGGCTGTGGGCGTGTTATCTCATGGAGAGTGGGGAACTGAATGTCTTCTTCCCTTCACAACAGAATCTGCCAAACACCTAAGCAAAGGTGTAATCATCAGGTACGGTAAACAATAGGAAGCTTAAAAAGAAAATATTGATAATTAGGGAAAACATATACGCACAAAAAAGCTGGAAGTGAAAGGAATCCACGAAATAATGTTTTCTCTTTTAGCGGATTTCCAATATAGGGAATAAGCTATCGTTTAGTTATTCCAGGTTCAAGAACTTAAATAATATTAAAGTAGTTGTAGTTATTACCTTTTGTTGCCAATGCTCCTGAGTCCTGAATAGTAGTTGTATATTCTATGTACATTATGCTACCTTGTGTGGCATCTTTAAGGGGTCTTCCTACACATCACACTAACACTATTGTCTATATAACTATTTACAAAATTTGACAGTAGTGTTAGTGTTAGTGTGATGGCAGAAAAAGAACCCCTAAAGATGCCACACAAGCTCGAAAAATTTACATTAGGTTTTATAAAACTACTTCTGAAGAAGACAGGCAACAAAAAATGTGATAGGATACTAATAACTACTTTCATATTGTTTTTAATTTGTATTTTTAAAAATTATACAAAATTTCCTAGGATTCTTGCCAAGCTTCTCTTATATTCATTTGTTTATAAAGTTACAAATTCAATACTATGACAATTTGATTGAGCTATTGCCATATGTTGTTTTACTATTGCATTTCCTTTATTTTTGAATTAGTCAAGATTTTAGCAAACCATGCTTCTGCAAATATTTTGTTGACTGGGACGGTGGCGTCGTCCTGTAATCCAGCTACTTGGAATTCAAGAATTGTGAATATTTATAGTTATGCACTGTGGAAGCGATACTCCCTGGTGTGGATTAACGTCCACACTAGTGAATACTACGACTATCCACAGTACCATCCTGATAATTAGACCAATTTGTTAATTACAGGGAAAAATGTGGTTTGGATTTCTCTATAAATTGTATGTCCCTTAGTTGTCATTGGCTGCATTATTAATTAACAGTTGTGTCTAAGGAACATGTTGGCCTTAGTCACTAACAAGACTACAAGATAGCGCCACTCATCTCCATTCATACTTGGCTTAAAGTACCTACATTCGTATGGTCGACATTTCAGAATAAAGTATTAAAAAAATTACTATCAAAAATAAAGAGAAATTTAAACAGTTAAAAAAATTTAATACATTACATTAACGGTTATTTTAAATATTTTTTTTGTCCAAAATATGTTTACTGCACTGTATCATTGAAACCAAATTTGGTATTGGTGTGTGCCCCAAAATTATTGTAACCAAGCATTGGACAAAATCCTTGCTATGTAATCATTACTTTTGTTTGTTGCAGTTCTGATACCAACCTAGATATAAATGTGGTAGCTTTGAATACAACCAATCTCACCTATTATGAAGAAGAAGTCCCTGACATGGTAAAACTTCATAGCTCTATTGTTTTAGCAAATTTCTCTGTAGGGAAATATCTATTTACTGGAGTCTTTATAGTAAGACCTAGGTCTCTGTGCTCTTTTGTATTAGGTTCTCCAGAAGCCAAAAACACTGTTTGTCCAAATTTTCATTAATGTGTGTGAGGCAGATAACTCTTTTTAAAAACTCCCCAATTTTGATACAATTTTAGTGAAATGAGTAAACTATTATCTATTTCTTTTCAAAACAATATAAGGGAACATAAAAAAAGTTGTGTGTTTCAGCAAACTTTCCCAAGGGGAAGTACCTTTTCTCAAATTAATGAAATGACATTTTCATTCCTCACACAATTTTTTCAAAACTGTAATTATAAACGTATTATACGTTAATTCATAATACCTAATGCTAAATTAATTAAAAAATATAAAAACACAGACATTGTAAATAGTTAAATATTTTTTTTTGCTAAACATTTTCTTCAGTTTTATTTGTTTTAATTCATCCCAGGAGGTTACAGTATTCCCTTCTGGACGGCTCATTTCTTCTGTTGACAGATTCATGAAGATGTGAAGTGTGTGGACTATTGTGGTACCAGGAACAGTGGTGAGAAGGTAATGGGCATCGGCCAGTTCGATTCCCTCACCAACACCGTCACTCCGGATTCCACTCTTTTGTGGCCTGTGCCTCAGCATTGGTCCATGGATGATGCTACAACTGTTCCTGTTGCTTTCACACTGGTTAGTGACATTTTCAATTTAACCATTTGTGTTCTAGCCATTTTTGGGTGTTTGCATACATAGACATATATAACAGTAGACTCTTGATAATTGAAATGAAACTATATAAAATAAAATAAAAAAACTAGCCTACTTTATTGCCACAAAACATTTCACAGATCCAGCGTAGCTGGTGAAACAGGTGACATTGTCAGATCTTAAAAGCTACATTTACTTAAACTAAAATACATTTGCTTTTTGTTTAAATAGTCGAAAAGTGAATAATCATTTTTCTCTATAAGGTATTGTTTAAAATAATTTTAAACTTTGAAACACTTAACATTTCTTTGAACATAGTAGTATAGACCAATAGAATTAAATATATTCACCGACAGCAGTGCTGCAGTTATCATAAGTTCTGGCGTCCAGCGCTGGGAGTGCCGTGTAGTTAAGACGCACTCGCTACATAACTATACGGCGCTTCTAGCGGTGGATGACAGAACTTGTGCTAACGGCAGCCCTGCTGTCGTTCTATATTTAATTCTATTTGTCTATGATATAAGGTTAGGTAGTGGGTAGTAGAAGTCTTAATTGGACAGTTACTGAATGGAGAGGATATAGGATTACTGAAACTAATACAACAATTAACCGTTAAGCAAAGACAAGGTAAGATGTTTTTAGCGAATTTCCCTATAGGGAAGTAGCTATTACCGTAGGTCTCATGGTAAGACTTAGGCCCGGGACCGATTTACTTTTTCATTTTGATGTCCCCAGAGGCCAAAAACACCACTCGTTCAAATTTTTATATATGTGTGTCCGTGAACACGATAACTTGAGTAATTTTTATCCGATTTTGATGAAATTTGGTTTGAAGGTGTAAGGCGGGATAAACTTGAATGAGTTTGCGATCCAGCATGATCGGACCATGGGAACAGGGTTTTATGGGGGGTTTTATAGGGTAAAAATTGGTTTTTCTCACTTTTGACCCTCAAAACACAAAATTTCCCAATTTTTCTCTAAACCTTCTTAAAGAGCTTAAAAAAACAAACAATTCAGTATATCAAAGTGTTTTTGTACGGTTATTGGTTACGGAGAAAACTAAAAAAAATGGTAAATTTAAAATTCCCATGTTATTCTTATGGAGAATATTGTAAAATGTTGTAGTTTGCTTGTTTATGGATATCTTTTGATCAAACTTAGCAAATATATTCATTTTATACTAAGCAATAATTATTTTACTTAAAACACACACTTAATTAGTTTCCTTGTAGCAGCAAACCTAGGTACTCGTTAAACCTAATGTTATTAAAATAGATCAATTAAAAATCAATTCAGCCAAATGGAAATTCGCTTAGGCGTCAGGTTTGCTGCGGCGGGGGTATTTCATTATTATGTTCTTCTTGACTATGATCTGGTGTTCATATTAATCTGTTCAGACAACACACCTTTTTATTAGTTATTAACTCTCAAGAATATTGGTTCTGAAAAATATTCTACCTGAAAAGTAAAATTCGTACTCATTAATGTGGTATTTCAGGCCTACTATGCTCTTATTGAAAAAGTAAAGTTGAAAGCGCAACAGATAGTCCTGGTCCACATGGGTTCCAGTCCAGTAGGCCAGGCCTTCATTGCAGTAGCTCTACAAGTAGGAGCTGACGTGTATACCACCATAGACAGCCATGACCAACTTCAGTCTCTAATGAGGAGATTCCCCCAGGTAATCCTGGTGTGAAAGATTTGAAGGACTTTTTAAGGATATATCTGATGTAAGACATATTACTTACGATATTCAGCTCAAAATTCTGGATGGTGATTTCAGGACATGTTTCGAGCTTCAGCTGAGCACTAGTAAAGTATATTCCACCAAAATGGCTTCGTCATGGTTCTTGAATACACAAAACACGTACACGGACAGTCTGTCCCCGACCCACGGCGTGACTGTATGTTCGTCCCAGCAGGCCTGCATCGTTGTCTGTACCTGTTTTCGTAAAAACACTAAACAGTATTATTTTCTTTTATGTCTACAAGTTGTGTACGTGTATTGTGTGTCCAAGAACCATGACGAAGTTCTTTTTGGTGGAATATACTGCTCAGCTTAAGATGAGACATTTGTTTCGAAACATGTCGTGAAATCACCATCCAGAATTTTGCGCTGAACGGTGTAAGTAATATGTCTTATAATAATCATCTCCAGCTCAGGGGCTCGACAATGAATTTTGATATATCTGTATTTAGTAGACATCGCTTTCATCCAGGACTAGTGCCTTGTCTGAACAAAGAAACTAAACCAGCAGAAGTCACTACAAAAATTAATGGAATACGTTTGAAAACTACACATGAATAGTGCAAAATTAGTTAACTGCAGTATGTACCACAAGACAAAGAGTTTTTTTTTTTATTAACAAAAATGGATAAACTTCAGACATCAATGATATACCATTCATCTTAAGGACTCAAATCATTCAATTAAGTAATTTCTTACCCTGAATTGATGACCTGGATTTTTAAAGGGTTAGTTTTTTTATGATTCTTGTACAGTATTTGATTTGAACTCAATTTGTAAATTCAAGGCTATGTGGGATTATCATTGTGGGTTTTATTAGAGGAAGATTCCCAATAGAAAAGACAGTTCTAACTCGAGAGATCTATCCTCTTTTTTTTCCAAATAGCTTAAAAACTTAACTTTAAAACTTAAAGTGGGCTCCAAACTACTTGATTACAATATTATTAAATATTAAAAAGCTATTTCTGGTGGATCGGAACCCAGACCTCAATATTAAAAGTACATACCTTTATCAACTAGATTAGCCGCACCTCACCCAAGATTTATGACACGTTGAAAATTTGTTCCCCACTTAAAGGTAGTTCAAAGATATCTTGAGTCGTAGAAGAATTATTTTTGTTATATTTTTAGAAACCTTACAAATAAAATTTGTTCCCTAACTAAAGAATGGAATTTTAAAATTAAATTTGTTTGTTGACAGCTAAAGGTAGATCAAGTGCTACCCCTTGAGCACTTTGACATCAAAGTGAAACAAATGACAAAGGGAGAAGGAGTCAAAGTAGTGGTCAACTGCCTTTTAGAGAGTGAAACAGCATTGTCAGTCAATGCTCTCGGAAACGATTCTTATTTTATACATCTGAGCTCCATTGATCTCCGGAACAGAGAAATTGTTGGTAAGGCCCTTCTTGTACATTGATGAATATCTTCAGAAACTTGATTGTGCCTGATTCCCCAAGGGGAAGAAGATTATCGAATGTAGCCTGTTTGTGGAGATTGTATGTCAATTGACACTTTGTATATCTCGTCCCTCAGTAGCTTAGGATATTATTTGCAGAGCAAGGAGCTGAGTCTGTAGTGCTCGACAAATCATTAAGACTCAATATCTGCGTAACCAAGGAATCATAGACCTTACTGCTTAATAGATATGGTCAAAACCCTAAACGTTGAATCACTAAACTCCTAATCGTTAAACTGAAACCCAAACTTTAAAATCAAATCTCAAAACTCAAATTGCGAAATCCTATTTACTTTCAGGAAACAGGATTCATTATATTAAGAGTATGGCCTAAATTACCCACCGTATGTAATGTATAATATCTCTGGCCAAGCGATCTCAGTCAATTTATTAAAATCTAATGAAAAATAATAAAACAAACAAACATGATTTGCAAAAGCGTCGGTTCTATCGAGCTGATCTAGCCAAATCTGGCTCTCCTACCCCCACTTGAAAATATTTAAGAGTTGCACCAACGTACAAGATGAGCAAGTCAGGGACTTTCAAAATTATTCTATATTCTTTTACTTATGGCTCTATATGGTATATATTTTCAGGGGCTTACTAGTTTAATATTCTATATGTGAAACAACTGACACATATTTATGATTATAATAACTCTTGTTTTAGGGTTGTGGGTTTTCATCAGGAATGCCCACATGTTTGGAATCTCACTTTCAAACATTATCAACGCAGATCCTGATACCAAAACAAGACTGAGTACATTCTTAAAGGATGGATTGAAGAAGGGAGTTGTCAAACCCTTAAAAAAAAGGATTTTTCCACTTTGTAACTACCATCAAGCAACTAAGTAAGAAGTTTTAAGTTCACCTTTGTAGGCTACTTTATCTGAAGATGTTAAGCACTGTATTATTTTTTGCATACTTTGAGACAAAATTTAAATTTTTCTTATAAATAGGCATGTCTAGTACTTATTTCTGGGTCAGAATGTAGGTAATTAGTGAAAGTAAAACCACTAACAACTCTAGTAAAGATATAAAGAGATTTGAAATCTCTAAAATACGACTTTACACTAATTTCGATAGGTTTTTTGAATCTTGTAATTATTTGTAGCTCACATATTCTTGTTCCTTTATTGCAAGCGGTATCACTTCCAACAAAGTATACTGATTAACTGCCTTGTTTATCGTATGACAATTCAGAATCATTAAATGAGGCTTGTGTCACTACATAACAGATTATATGTTTCTTGCAACTATATTAACGATTGTCGTTTTATGTAGCAATTTACACCAGAGGTGTTTTGATGAGAAGACTGTAGTGATCATCAAACCTGAAGGTCGAAGTGAGTTGTCGACCAATTCTTTGCCAGGCTTCCACTGTCAGCCGCAGTCTACATACATCATCATCGGTCAGTATTCAACAACTCAACATCGTAGTAGGGTCTTGCTATTTCTATATGGTACGACTATACACAGTGCAGTTCGAGATAACCTCTTTAGCTGTACCTGTCCATCCTCAGAAGACACAGTATTGTCGATATAGGGATTTATTTGATCCATCTGTAGTATTAAAAAATCAAATATATAGTCAGTATTTACATAGAATATTGTTGTTTTTTGTGGAGGTGAAGCTTGTTTCTATTGTCCATGCCAGAGGTACATTTTAGTAGAGATACTGATTTGATTGAGGGACAGCAGTCCGAACCCCATGTATAGGATTTCACCAGTCACTTTTGCAATGGTTCTAACCCCTTGGAAAACCCTGATGGTTATTTATTCGTATCATGGTGTGGTTTGTACTGTTACATCATGATAGCCTTTTTCCAATGCCTATTTGTTATAACTCTTAGGTTCATGTGAAGACCTGTGGTTGGACCTAGCCCAGTGGTTGGTAGGTCGAGGTGCTCGCCGTCTTGTGCTCGCTCCCACCTATGCTCACCTCAACACCAGCAATGCTCACCGCCTGGATCGTCTAATCAACCTCAACTATGCTCGAGTCATGCTCACCTCTGCCGCGAGGATCGGAACTTATGATGATGCAACGATCGTTCTCAACGAGGCCATTAAGCTGGGTCCAGTGGGAGGCATCTTCTTTGTTGGACTGGTTAGTGGTGAACTTTTCAATCTTGTCCATCCCTTGATTGCCTCATGCTTCAATTTCTTATACAGCTTCTCTTTGAGGTGTAATGTTTTCTAAATTTTGACAATTAAAAAAAAAATGAGTATAATCTGTTTTCTTTGAGGGCCTAAATACTTGCTGAGATGAAGGTACCTGGGAATAACACTATATTGGAGCTATAAGCTGGTTAATTTATCCTCAAAGTTATTGCAGACTGACTGAAATTGATATTTTATTTGATCTGATACCAATAAATAACTTGTTTTATCTTTGTCAAATGGGTTTACAAACTCAATAAAAGAGTAAATCTTGATACTCACTATTGTTTCAGGCAGAGAATAGTCCTACGATAGCACATGTAGACTCTGCAGCCAGACAGCAGATCCCTGATCTACCCCAGTTTGTGTGTCTGTTAGGAGGAAGCACTGCAGTCTGCCAGTCAAGAGCAAAACTTGGCTTCTCATCAAAGCTTGTACAAAGTGAAAAACCCCTCTATAGACCTCAGACCATCTTATCCTGCCTGTCAAATGTACTCACAGACACCAACTCCATATCCTACAACTACCTTGTTTCAGACGCTGTAGAAACTTCGAGTAACGCAGAAGGTAGGCTACAATGTTACGTCTTGATAGTTTGAAATATGAAATAGGCATAAGAAATCTAGAAAAAGTTTCAGACTGGATGTCCTAAGATCTTATGAGTGATTCCATACTGACGCTATGAAAACTATAAATAATCCAGGTTATTTTATTTTGCTATGTAATTTAAACTGCCGTGTAAATATCAGATAGTTTATTTTGAATTCATTCTTTCCCCACTCTACAAAACTGTGGGACAAAAAACAAACATCCAGGAATATCCAATAGTATGTAATACAACATAGCACTTGGCTTACAACAAATTTTGTAACATATTTGTTCTTTTTTTACTCTATATTCATTTTTGTTTCATCTTATTATTACTTACAATACATTTTGCTTGGCTGTTATTTTAACAACAGAAATTAAACGGAAGAAGTAAATACCCCCGCCGCAGCAAACCTGCAGACTAAGCGAATTTCCATTTGCCTGATTTGATTTTCAATTAAATCTATTCAAATAACATTAGTTTTAACGAGTACCTAGATTTGCTGCCTACAGGGTAATAAAGTGTGTTTTTTAGTAAAATAATAATAGCTTGGTATAAAATAAATAGATTGGCCAAGTTTGATCCAAATATATGCATAAACAAGCAAACTGCAACAGTTTACTTATTCTCCATAAGAAAAACATGGGAATTTTTAATTTACAATTTTCTCCATAACCAATAACCATACAAAAACACTACAATATACTGAATTATTGGTTTTTAAGCTCTTCAAAATGGTCTAGAGGAAATTTAGGAAATTTTATGTTTTGAGGGTCAAAAATGAGAGTAACCAATTTTTACCCCATAAATCCCCCCATAAAACCCCGTTCCCATGGTCCGATCATGCTGGTTCGTGAACTCGTTCGAATAAACGTAGGTTTACACGTTTGTACCAAATTTCATCGAAATCGGATCATTTTTGCTCGAGTTATCGTGCTGACGGACACATATATATATATATATGAATTTGAACGGATGGTATTTTTGGCTTCTAGGGACATCAAAATGAAAAAGTAAATCGGTCCCGGGACTAAGTCTAACCATGAGACCTACGGTAATAGCTTATTCCCTATAGGGAAATTCGCTAAAAATAAACATTTCATCTAATAGATCTGTAACTGGATTGAAGTTTGTAACTGATATATCTCTGTGTGCTTTAACTTTAAAACTTCATCCTAAAAATCAATATCAAATCTTTTCTACTGCGTGGAAATTATCCTATAAACATATTTCTGGTTTATGAATTGTAGAATAAACAGGATGTGAGAGGCAATCTATATTTCTGGTTGGATTAGCTTGATACTAATTGTTTTCTATATGTTGAAAAATCTATATACTTCAATAGTATATTCGCTTACTAGGGAAAATAGCAGTGGGGTGTAGTTTTACTAGTCTTAATTTTATGTTAGTTTTGATAAACCACATTGGATACACTTTTAATTGTGTGGTTGGTAGCTAGTACCAAATGCTTGGGGAATGATGAATGAAAATTGCTTGGTATTAGTTTAGTGAAGATAAAACATCATGTAGCCTTCTCAACACTGTATATTTACACTGTTCTTTTTCTCAGACACATGGTACATGGTAGAAGAGGACCCCTATGTTTTCCTTCCATCAACTGTTGAAGATTTGCTAGTCTTAGGACAAGACGTTAGTTGCACCCCTTGCTTCAAGGAGGTAGCCACTCGTTCACCCCCTCATTGGAACATCAAATACAATGTTCTACCTGTGTTTGTGTTGCCTGGTATATCAGCTGCCAGTCTGTACCCCTTCATCTCTCATCTGATGCACCCTGCGTACTGCGCCCCTCTCTGTGACGCCTCTCTTTCTGTCGAGAGTTTGGCCGAAGCATTGCAAGAAGTGAGTAAAAATAAGATAAGCTCATGAATTTAGTATTATGTTTAGTAAGCTCATATATTTTGTTACTATTTTTATTTTTATTTTAAGGGAGTTATGTTCAATACTGCAAAACTTGTTGAAATGTGTACTTTTTGGTAGTCACATGCTAAGACCTTTCTAACGACACCTTGGACATGGTGATCGGTAGCACCACCAGTCACTCATATTTTTACTAAACTGTTTAAAGGTTAAGAATTATTATTTCATTGTTGCTTCAAGCTACATTCCTGCAAGCTATAACATTTTTACTGAAAGTTTTGTTCAAGGAAAGGCTCTAGGGCAGGATTTTGAATTGTAGAAAAAGGAGGAAAGCAGCTAGCTTACCTTGAAAGTGTAGGTAGACCATAGAACATGTAGAAAAACACTTTGCACACAATATTTTGTCCCCTGAAGGACTTTTTCAAGTGTAGAGAAAGAGTTTACAAATTACAAAAAAATATATATATTTGTAATTTGTAAACCCTTTCTCTACACTTGAAAAAGTCCTTCAGGGGACGAAATATTGTGTGCACAGTGTTCTACATGCTACAGTGTGCTACATGTTCTATGGCTTACCTACACTTTCAAGGTAAGCTAGCTGCTATCCTCCTTTTAGTATTCTTACTGAAAGGTGTCTTTTAATCAAAAGGTTCTATACCGGGTGTCCCATAATACTCCCCCCTGGTTAATCTTTTAATGGCTACATATATTAAAGTGTGTGACATCACCATGGTCACGTGTACTGAAGGTTATTTGAAAATTTACAGCCATGAAAAAAATAAAAGTGATGGAATGTAAAGTTTCAGTTAAATTAACTCTAACATTTCTTGCCATAACTTTTTGAAAAATTCATTGTATCTACGTCGGATTTGCTACTTGATAGGGGTTGCTATTTTAAAATTTTAAGTTTCCCCCAGCAACCCCTATTTGGGGGTGGGGGTGAATTTCAAAATACCACCAAAATGTACTTTACATTACCCTAGTAACTTGTATCGAAGCTCGTTTGAATTTATGCAGCTGTTCAAGAATTAACTAGGAGGGGGGGGGGGGTATTATGGGACACCCGGTAGTCTATAGTCTCACAAAAAGTCATAACAGGAATTCTGTTCTGTTTCTGTTCAATGAAATGGCGACCATACATAGTAGGTATTTTAAGCCAAGTACAATACAATACAATACAATACAAATCATCTTTATTCATCAAGTATTTTACAGCAAATACATGAATTGCGTCACAGAAAGGAAAAGAGAAGCAAAAAATTAGGTATACAAGTATCCTAAATAATAGATTACAAACATAAATCATAACATAACATAGTTCTAATCATTTAAATTCCAAAACTCTTCTATTGAATATAATGATTTAGATTGCAAATAGTTTTTCAGTAGTTTTTTAAAGCTACTGTAATTATGTTCATTGAAAATATTTTTGGGTAGGCTAAATAAAAATTTGTTGCCAATGAAACTGGTTTTTTTCTCAAATAACTTCAATCTGTGTTGTTCTACATGCCTGGTGTTTCGTAAATTGTAACTGTGGAAATTTTTAGTTTGATAATCTGAACTTTTTACATGTAGAATAGTTTCAAAAATGTATAAATCATAGATGGTCATTATACCCAATTTAGAAAAATATTTTTTCACTGATTCTCTGTTTTTTATACAAAAGATAATTCTAAGAGCTTTTTCCTGTTGACGTAGAATTTTGTCTAGGCTTTTTTTTTTGTGGTACCACCATATAAAGCTATTCCATAAGCTATATGTGAATTTATTAAAGCAAAATAAATAGTTTTAAGAGTTTCAATGCTTGAGACACGGGACATTTGTCGCAAAGCATAAATACCAGTTGTAGATTTTTTTACCACATGTTTCACATGCTCATCCCAGGTTAAATGCTGGTCTAATATTAGAATGAAGTATGAATAGAGATGAGTGTAGGATGAGTGGCGCGATCTTGCAGTCTTGTTAGTGACTAAGGCCAACATTCCTTAGACACAGCTGTTAATTAATAGCCCATACAGCTAATGGCAACTAAGGGACCTACAGTTTATAGTGGAATCCGAACCACATATCATCCGAATCAAAGTTTAAGTCACTGGTGAGACCAGTGGCGTAACAGAAGGGCCCACAGGGCCTGCAATGCGGGGGGCCCGGGTGCTGAGGGGGCCCGCGAAACGGTGAGCGGGAAACGGTGAGCAGAGAGGCCCGTGAGACGAGTGGGACCAAAAAATTAGAGTTTGTTCTTATTTAAATGTATTATCAATCATTCAATAATTGTATTGAACAAGTAATAACATTGATGTTATTAATAACTAGCAGATTACCCGTCCTTCGTACGGGGTTGGCATATAAGTATAAAATGCTTATTGCAGCTGTTATACTCGATCTTTGCGTTTGCAATGTGAGAAAACACGGTTTGAGAAAATTTTCTTCCTCAAATTTACAGTATGCTATAGTATTTCACATCTACCATAGCCATAATGTTCTAGCACTTCACCTACACAATAGAGAAGATAGATTATTAAAAATTTGCAAAGTATCACAAATTATTCATGAAATTAAAAACATAAACATAACTGTAAACAATCCTACTTTGACAGTTCTCATTGCGTATAACAGTTTTGTTTCTGCTTATTTCAAATAAGCTGTTTTCATAAATAATGAAACAAATAATAGTGATGCACCCTGTAGGTAAATCTTATAACTTTGTAATGCTTTTGCATATCATAGAACCAACTCTTTTAGTTGAAACAGCTGGCTCAATTCTTTAATTCCCTTTAAATATGAATACTCATAAGGTTAACATGGAGAACTGCAGAGCCACTGGGGCGGAGCCCTAAAGGATTTTTGAAATAAGAATATGCCTATATGTTAATCGGGAATGTGAGCTATCATCATGCCAAAAGTCAGCTGTTATAAACTTTAGAAATATTGCTGTGCCTTACCAATACAGTCTTTTGAAATATTAAAGATACTATACCTATAGGTACTATAAAATATTTTGAACAAATAATTTATCATTAAAGACAGTAGACAAAACTAATATGATTATCAAAACACCAAGGACTGAAAAATGTAATAGCAAATACAGTATAGGTTTCACTGCATCTCTGATTCTACTCTACAAAAATATCAACAAACAACTTAATATACAAACCAGTTCTTTTAATCAGTTCCATCGTCCATTGTCTTTACATTTTGCACACTTACCATTAAGTAGACATAGTAATGGATATTTCATTGATTTTAGAAACAAAGGAACACTGTGTACTGCTTAGTTTTATGATATTTTCCTTGGTTTAATTTAATCAGTGGTGTGGCGAAACATAAATAATAAATTTATCAAATAAAGTAAATGTGAACTGAAAGCTATGTTAAGTTAAAATAAGAGTATTTTGTATTACCATTTGATAATTAATTATACACATATACAACAGATTTTAAAAAACAAAACTCAACGACGTACAATTTAGTTATTGATGATATTCTTTAGTTTAATTTAAGCATAGGTTTAGCAAAACACAATAACTTAATTTACCTAAATATACATAAAAAAAAAACAATGTGTTGTGCAAGTTATGTTAAGTTAATCTAACACATGTGAAGCAGTTATAATTTATTTGAAGTAGCCTCCAAATTCATATAAAACATCTATACATTGTAATTTTCATACTGTTTCCATGAAATCATATCAATAATATTATTTTCATAACTTAGACGCTTAAAAAAAAATCCAAAGCAGAGCCGGAGTTGATACAGCAACGGTTATAGAATCTTATTTTTATATAATCATTGGCATAGTTTTAGAATAAATAATCCATGATAAAAGGTTAGATTAAAATAAACCTACCTCATAGTTATGGAAAATATTATATTTAATTTCTTTGTATCAGCTGTCTAAAGTTATGCAGTTTAGCAGTTCTTCTTGTTTACATTTAAATGTCAAACCAAATGTAAACAAACATTGTTAGTATTCTCATCACAGCCATGGAGACCAATCAATATTTACTTTTAAAATCTTCACCTCAGAACTTTTAAAGCCAAAGGGGCAAAGCCTACGGTCAGTATCCAAATGTGAATAGTCCTATAATGGTCCTTTGTATGGTAACTATGTTTTTGTAAAATTTTAGCCCAGTTGGTTCAGTAGTTTTTGCACCTATTAGTAATACACATACAGACAGACACCATTAGATTTTTATATAATAGTATAGATATGTTGTTATCAGTTATCGTTTAATTTCGTTAAGCCTCTTCATTGATAACGAACTAGGGTAACACATTTAACGTGTTATAACATTGGTACTTTGATTATTATGCAATCTTACTTTCGTTACCGAGAAATATTTTACTTCTCGGTATTTCGTACAATGTTTATGTCGTCTGCAAACATTTTGTTACTTTGGAGCCTGGAGTCTTGAACGTTGGCTGGGGCTTTTAATATTGTATTATTTTAATAGTTTTGTCCTAATATTGATTGTAGTTTGTTAAATACTCTGTCTATCAGTGCTTCCTCTATTGACTGATAGGAGACATTATCTACTCTACTGACTGTGTTTGGTAGCCCATATATATATTTTTTTCTCTCGTGGGGCTGGGGTATTATTACTCCTTGCTAACTCGACCTACAAGATCTTTTGTAGCACCCTTTTTGTTTAGTCACCCAACCGAAGTTTTCTTGCGAAGCCAATCAGTTGGTGCACACCCATTTCTCGTATTTCAGTAGGCATCGGGAATGCCTTTCCTAGGTGTTTCAACCTTTTCTGGGCTATCGCCGGACATTCCAGCCATATGTGCTCAGCTGATTCTGTTTCGTAGAGGCAGAATCTGCACTGGTCTGTCTGTCTAAGCCCTATTGTCTTGAGGTACTTCCTTACATAGCCATGCCCTGTAAGTAGACCTGTCAAGAGGCTTATTTCTCCTTTTTGGAGGTTGAAGATGTTTCTCCATTCCTTACTAAGAGGATTGATGAGCATCTTTGATTGTCT